AAGTGATTGTGGTTCAGAAGAGTGGAATGATACCGAAAATATCGCAGATCTTGCTACTGTGATGGTTCTCTCAGGTAAGGTGCACTTTCTTCTTCTGGGATAACCTGTTCAGCCCTCGAGCTCTATCTGTGCTTCCTTGAGCGTCAGCTAGACAGTCAGATCGATCGATAGTCAACCTACTATAGCTTAACTGCCCTAGATGTCTAGAAGGGTATAACAGCAAATAAGTTACCGGGTCCTGGCGCCTTGCATAGTATTGCCATACGTGACCTCACCGTAAAGCAAAACGATAGCGCCGCCTGTGGAAATTCGCCTAAAAGATGGTGTGAATAAGTATTTGTCTAATTACCCATAGGAGTTAAGAGCGATGCTGATGGACTAAGACATCTGTTTCGACCCAGTCTTCTTCTCTCTCGGTAAATTTAAGCCTCTAATACACCGGACTCTAGACGGTAAATATCAGGCAAGAATGAAGAAACAAATACAACTGACTATAAGACCGACTAGTATGATCCATGTAGTAGTGCCTTATCGGGCTGTTCGAGGAGTTTGTTGTATAGCAGAAAGCTTATTTAGTGGGAATTTTCTTCATCGTGTAGCTCACACAGCAGAGTAACTTAATACGGAATTTGGCAACGTGCTAGCTTCGAAAGTCTATTAGGGCCTGTTAAAAGAGTGGCGAACAATTATGGGTTGGAACCTCTTCCTGATCAAGCAGTTTGAATGATTTCTCCCAGTAGTCACCGTGATTGGGTATAAGATAAGCTTTCCGGATGGGAAAGGTCAGGGAATGTGAGAATTGGTACTCCTCCGATTTTGCATAGTTTCCCGACCTGCATTGAACATAATTCACAATTCTGTTTCCCGGCTGGTTGGCCCTTGACACCTACCTGATTCAAGACCTCCAGTTGTGAACTCGTGGTGCCATTTAAGCAAGCCGTGATATGCCGAGACGTAGTAGTCACATTTTTAGTTTTGCCAATCGTTTTTATATATTGGAACGACTTGCAGCGCCTTGATCGGTTTCAAGGATCACAAATATAAACCGACACATTAAAGATGAAGCATACATTGAGGACCTATTGCGCGTAGCTACGCTAGGATAAAGTCGAATTGAAGACAGTGTATGGTCTGTGTTGTTTGCGCTGAAAAGACCATCTATGGCCCAGCAACGGCAGAATGTCACCAGCTATCGTTACCGCCTTACCGTTGAATCCATTGCGTACCACAGATATCATTGGTCGCTGTCTTTGTCTTCACTACGTACCCGCTTGCCAAGCAAATCTGATCTGAGTCCATCTCAAGTCATAATTGAACCTCCTGCCTTGACTTTGAACATTTGTTTGCGCCTCAAAGGACTCCCGTGTGTATTAAGAATGAGCACCTTGTCACAGAATGCGAAAGACAAGCAGGAGTCAGAGGGAAGTGCTACTGGGAGAGGAGACTAACAGATTCAAGTGGTTCTTTTAAGCTTGTTTATACTCACTCACTCGTTTATACTGATGACTACCTAATGAAATATGTTTCTATTTGACTGATTGTTGCCAGTCTGATTCCGATGAAGTGTTTTATTTGTGATTCATCACAGGCTAAGCAAGGAACCTTAGTGGATCTCATCAAACAATGTCGTGGACTTCGTGGAATCACGGGAGGAAGCTCCTTGAATACCCGACGGTGCTTTTCGTGGCCGTCGAATATGCAGGTCGTCGAAGTCGATCTGGACGAGTCAGAGGATCTGGCTGGGTGTGGCCGGCGAGAGGCAGTCGGGACCGAGGTTAATTGTTCGTCTTGGTGCCTGCAACTTCGGGCTGCAGTACGCGTATGGTATGGTAAGCTGATCCTCCGCCCCCCTTCCCCCTTCCCCCCCCCGGAAGCACATGCATTGACGTCATGGACTTTCTCCCGGTATACTTCCTCTTCCTCTTTCTTCCTTCTCTCCCAGCATCAAATTGAAGAAGGCACTTCTCAGAACACAAAACACGACAACTGGAGCCAATTCTGGCATTGTTCAGTACTCTTTCATTAATCTCCTCTATCATGTCACAATCCAGAACCACGCTGTCCGACTCAATGTGCCAAGGACCATCCATCCCCGCGGCGTGGCGACCGAATAATAGCCCCGGAAATGCCTCAGGCCCGGGGGAAGGTGGAGGGTCTCCCCTTAGACCGAGGATCTTCAGCAGAACGTGATCCTCTCTCCCGAACCTCATCCACCAACCACTCAGCTTGCTCCTTGGCCCCGACCATGACTTGTGAATTTGGGACACGGTTAACCTAATACACCTAATTCCTGTCCACCCTGTCCACCTCTCCAGTTCCCCAGTTTTCGAGACATGCCGGGTGCGTCTGCTCGACCACCCTTTTTGTCCCGCTGATCCGAACGTTTACCGACGACTGGCCCAAAGTCAATGACTCTGACGCACCGACGATGGCGCGTGTGCATCTGCTGGTCCTTCTCCTGGGCCTTTAAATATCGACCCTTTGGCTCGTGATTGTGAGGATCAGTACTTTAACCCTTCTCTTACCCTCCGTCTCCTCGTTGCCTCTTTCCTCTCCGGACTCTCCACTCCAATTTGACTTTCTTTCTTCTTGTATGTCTTACTTTCCCTGGTCACGGTTTTTATAGATCGGTAGACTGGCTATACTGCATACACTGCCTCGGCTTGCTTCCTGACTCCCTTCTGTTGCCCTCGCACCACCCCTCCCGTCTCACACAACATGGGTCTGCACGAAGACGAAGACCAGAAGTATCTGGAAGACGTCCAAGCCGTCAACGCTTGGTGGAAGGATTCCCGATGGAGACATACCAAGCGCCCTTTCACTGCTGAGCAGATTGTGGCGAAGCGCGGAAACCTGACGATTGACTACCCATCCAATGTGCAAGCCAAGAAGCTCTGGAAGATCTTGGAGAGCAACTTTGAGGTTAGCCAGACCTTCGGAGGGGTGGGAAGTGAAATGAAGCTGAAGCTAACCATTCTCCTCGTGCTTGCAGAAAAAAGTGCCCAGTTTCACATATGGCTGTCTCGACCCTACTATGGTCACCCAGATGGCCAAATACCTCGACACTATCTACGTATCGGGCTGGCAAAGCTCTTCCACTGCCTCTTCCACCGACGAGCCCTCCCCGGACTTGGCGGATTATCCTATGGTAGGTTTGGGACATATGGAGATGGCATGTTCCACGTGCTGACATGAGGTACTAGAACACTGTTCCCAATAAGGTCAACCACCTCTTCATGGCCCAATTGTTCCACGACCGGAAACAACGCGAGGAGCGCATCACCACCCCCAAGGACCAGCGCCATAAGGTGGCTAACATCGACTACCTGCGGCCTATCATTGCGGACGCTGATACTGGCCATGGTGGGTTGACTGCGGTGATGAAGCTGACCAAGCTGTTCGTCGAACGGGGTGCGGCTGGTATCCACATTGAGGACCAGGCTCCAGGTACCAAGAAGTGTGGCCACATGGCCGGTAAGGTGTTGGTGCCTATTAGCGAGCACATCAACCGCCTGGTTGCCATTCGTGCGCAGGCCGATATTATGGGTACGTCTGTCTCGCGCAGAGTTACGAACTTGACTAACGGCGAGAAATGCAGGCACGGATCTACTGGCCATTGCCCGAACCGACTCCGAGGCCGCCACTCTCATCACATCCACCATCGACTACCGGGATCACGGCTTCATCATCGGCTCCACCAACCCCAAGCTGCAGCCTCTCAACGACCTGATGGTCGCTGCCGAGCAAGCGGGTAAGTCGGGCAATGATCTGCAGGCGATCGAGGACCAATGGACCGCTCAAGCTGGCTTGAAGCTGTTCGACGAGGCCGTCCTCGACGCCATTCACCAGGGCTCGCACAGCAACAAGCAAGCCGTGGCGGAGAACTACCTGCGCAAGGTCAAGGGCAAGAGCAACAGCGAGGCCCGCGCCCTCGCCAAGAGCATCACCGGTGTCGACATCCACTGGGACTGGGATGCGCCGCGGACCCGCGAGGGTTTCTACCGGTACAAGGGCGGCACCCAGTGTGCGGTCAACCGGGCAGTAGCCTACGCCCCGTTCGCAGATCTTATCTGGATGGAGAGCAAGCTTCCGGACTACGCGCAGGCGAAGGAATTCGCCGACGGGGTGCACGCCGTGTGGCCCGAGCAGAAGTACGTTGCCCTTTGCCAACATTCTTTTTCTTGTTGTTCAAGCTGTGCTAACGGTGAAATCGTGTAGACTCGCATACAACCTCTCCCCCTCGTTCAACTGGAAGAAGGCGATGCCCCGCGACGAGCAGGAGACCTACATCAAGCGCCTGGGGGCCCTGGGATACTGCTGGCAGTTCATCACCCTGGGCGGGCTGCACACCACCGCGCTGATCACGGACCAGTTCGCCAAGGCCTACGCCCAGCAGGGCATGCGCGCGTACGGCGAGCTGGTGCAGGAGCCCGAGATCGAGCAGGGCGTCGACGTGGTGACGCATCAGAAGTGGAGCGGTGCCAACTATATCGATAACATGCTGAAGATGGTGACGGGCGGTATCAGCAGCACCGCGGCGATGGGCAAGGGCGTGACGGAAGATCAGTTCAAGCATTGAGGGGGGTGTTGATGTGTAATGGATGGTGAGATTGAGTCATACTTATACAAGAGTTGTAGATACCTTTTGGCAGTGCAATAGTTTCAAGCTTTTATATTTTTTGGTCGGAGATTTTCTGTGTACTCTTGACCTGTCAGATGAATTTGAGCAAATCTGATGTATACATTGTAACAGGATAATGATACCTCCATTGAAAACATAATCCTTTTTGATTCCAGCTCTATAAATCCTGTCATCGAGTAACAGCTTCTACACCATGCCCGATAATCTAGACCCCTCATCACGTGCACCTAGTTAGCTGAAAATCCGCTGACTCATCCCCAAGCGGGGCAGCATCACCACCAGCACCACATCTTCTCCAAATATCACCTCGAAATCACTCCCCTCTTGAACAATCCACCAACAAACCCACCCTCAATCCAGCACACGGGGCCTCACCCAAGACCACCAAAAAATGGCCACCTCACTAACCGCCACCCCGTCCCGCACGGCAACCCTCCTCAGCAACCTCACCACCGTCTCCCTCCGCATCACCACCGCCACAACCACCTCCAGCCAGCCCAAAGAACCGCGCCTAGTAGCCGTCTCCAAACTCAAACCGGCCTCCGACATCCTCGCCCTGCACACCGCCCCGCCCACTGGCGCAGGCCACCTGCACTTCGGCGAGAACTACCAGCAAGAGCTCCTCGAGAAGTCCCGGTTACTGCCGGGGACCATAAAATGGCACTTCATCGGCGGCCTGCAGTCGAACAAATGCGTTACGCTGGCGAGGGAGGTCCGCGGCCTGTGGGCGGTCGAGAGTGTGGACAGCAAGAAGAAGGCCTCGTTGTTGAACAAGGGGTGGGGCGAGCGCGCCCCCGCTCTGAGGGAAGAGGACCACGAGGAGCGGTTGCGCGTGTTCGTGCAGGTCAATACCTCCGGCGAGGCGGAGAAATCCGGGGTCGAGCCGGGCAGGGACGCGGTGGAGCTTTGTCAGTTTATCCGGGAGGAGTGTCCGGGCCTCAAGTTGGCGGGGGTGATGACTATTGGGGCGATCGCGAGGAGTCGGGCGGTGAAGGAGGGGGAGGAGAATGTGGATTTTCTGGCGTTGAGAGGGGTGAGGGATGAGGTTGTGCAGGGGTTGGGGTTGACGGCGGAAGAGGGCTTGGAGTTGAGTATGGGGATGAGTGAGGATTTCGAGGGCGCGATTAGGTTGGGGAGTGATGAGGTTAGGGTTGGGACGGGGATCTTTGGCGAGAGGCCGCCGAGGGAGGAGGCGAGGGTTGTTTAGGGGGGTTTTTTGGGGGGAGGATGGGGAGGTGTGTATGATAGAGCTTTGGGTCGGGGGTGGGGGGGTGTAGATGTGGGTGTTGAGGATGGGGTGGTAATGAGTGCTGGGTTCGGCTGTAATATGTACTATATGATTACACTACATGATGTGGTATCAAAAGTTTAGACTATCGTCTATCGCTGGCTGGCGCTTCTAATTTATGCTGCGCTGCGCTAATCAACCATGAGATCCACCCCCACGCCCCGCAGCGCGTCTACCACCCAGCTCGGGTAGTTCGACTTCTCACCATATAGGTTGGCGAAGAACTCGCGCAGGAACGCCGGGAACCGATCCTCTAAAATAGCCTGTCGAGCGGATCCCATCAACGACAGCAGGTAATGCACATTGTGCATGGTGAGACTGGTACCGTTAGCATCCCTTTCTAAATTGCCAGAGAGGACAACCTACAGATGAGCCCCCACGGTTTCTTTGGCCGTCAGGTGGTGGATATATGCACGCGTGATCCCGAGCCCGCCCTGATCCCGGGGCCGACAGATGCTGCATGTACAGCCTTCTTGTACCGGCCGGAAATCCTCCGCGTATGACCGATGACGCAGATTCAGTGTGCCGCTGGGGACGACCGCGTTGCCGAAGCGCTGGTCCATGTTAGTTACTGTTGATTTGATGGAAACAGAAAACCTACCGCAGTTCGTGTGGGCCAGACACAATCAAACATGTCTGCGCCGAGAGCGACACCAACAATCAAATCCTCCGGATAGCCCTGTCGATCGTCAGTCTCTAGTAGTCAAAAAGTAGAATCAACCCTGCCTACCACTCCCATAACATAGCGTGGCTTCTTCTCGGGAAGCAAGCCCGTGCAAGTGTCCACCCTGTACTCATCAGCTTTCGCCTCTCTTTTTTGCAGTCAAACACATACACTTTGCAAAAGTCCTCCTTGGCCTCTCCGCCAGACAGACCCCCAATGGCAATTCCCGGCGTATCTCGAGCGACCATCGCTTCGCAGCATTGTTTGCGAAGCTCCAGATCCAACCCACCCTGGATGATACAGAACAGATTTTGTCTCTCCGGGTATTTGTGCGCGTCGATGCACCGGTCGAGCCATCTGACCGAGCGCTCCATCGCTTCGTGGATACGAGCGTGGTCCGGAGATGTGGTGGCGATGACATCGTCCAGTTGCATGATGATGTCGGAGCCGATGGAGTTTTGTAGGGAGATCGAGTGTTCGGGGGTGAGGAGCCTGGTCCTGTCAGATATGCATCGGTTTTGCAGGTGCGGGGAATACAGACATCGGAGTGCCGTCGTGGGGACTGAGGAAGCGGACGCCTTCTTCGGTGACTTGGGCGAGTTTGAGGAGGGACACCATCTGGAAACTACAAGCCTCTTGTCAGCACCAGTCCATCGACCTCGCAAATATATGCTCACCCTCCGCTGTCCGTGAGGATATTCCGATCCCACCCCTGCAACTTGTGCGCACCACCGATCGCATCGAGAACCGCTTGGCCCGGCTTGAGGCCAAGATGGTAGGTGTTGTTCAGACAAAGTTGGCAGCCGGTCTGGCGGAGTTGATCGTACGTCAAGCCCTTCAGGGAGGCTTGGGTCGCGACGGGCATGAAGATGGGGAGAGGGACGTCGCCATGGGGGAGGTGGAGCGTGCTCGCGCGTGCTTTCGTTGTCTACATGAGATATGAGATTAGCATGAAGCCATTCCATCGCGTCGCTCGCTGAAAGACAGGGCCGAGTACTGACGGAGCACTTAGCATGTAGATCAAAGGTCAATGCAGAGGGCATTGGTTTGCGCGGGGGCGCCGATGTCGAGGTCGACATGGCTACGATTGGAGCCCCGCTCGGGATTTTGCAAAGGGGATCGCGGGACAAAAGCGGCGTTGGAGCCCTGAAGACGGATAAAACGCTGCGTTTGCTGGAACGAAATCTGGTGTATGTCATCAAGAGGTTAATTGCGACGAGAGAGAAAGTCAGCGATGCTCAAGTGATTCGTCGGGGAAGATTATCGCAATCGGCGGAATACATTTTGCCTGATTTGTGCGGTTTGCTTTGTTTGCTTCTGCGCCTTCCCCGCATTGTCGCCGTGCGGAGAATCGCTTCTCTGCCCACCTTCTTCACCATTCACATATATCCGCAACAGCACTTGTTCTCGCATCATTGTCGCCGGTCATTACAGTCATATCTACTCAAGTATTATTCTTTCAATTAAACCAACAATACTTACTAGAACTACCGAATCGTTGAGGCCCATGTTGGATCGATACAGCATATACAGCATCGGATAAACATACGCAGGAAGTGACCAAGCCAGGAAGCATCCAACCCAGAGGAATCCTATGACGCGCTCTGTCCGCGGCCCCGACCCTATGTGGGAAGAACCGCGTAGACCGACATAAGCACTGACTGCCAAGTCCTCTACCATCAGGCCGAATGCCTGGATACAGAATAACTGCACCGCCTGGAGGTAGAGAACGACAGCCTCATCGACACATCAACCAGGAAGTGCATCAAGGCTGAAGTCCCAGAACCACCTGAATGTGCGCATATTGATGCACAGACGTCTTCGGCGACAGGCCAAGAACATCCTCCGCCACAAATCGGGCAATCGCGCGGCATTTGTGCGTGTTGTGCTGGTGCCGTGCAAACATGGAGTATCTTACCTCCAGAGTCGTCGAAGACTATAGGCCTCCGATAGGGTTCCGTAGAAGGGAGGCCAGTCTTGCGTCTCGCTCCATCGCATGAACACGCTGACAAATGCAAAGAGATTATAGAGCCCGCCCTGACTACACAATAGGCCGACGCCTGAAGCAGCCGTAGAGAATACGCGAATGACTACCTCTTCCACAGTGACTTTAGACAAACGACGAAAGAACGGCACTCGGGACGCGACTAGAAAACGAGATCCCACCTCCGGATTGCTCATTGACCTGAGCACAGCAACGCTGATATAGCCGAGGAACATGAATTTGGCGCTCCACCGAAGAATGCCACTCTGTCTTGATACTGTGGCTTGGGGATGTTGCGCACTTGTTCAGGGGCTCCAATGCATCGCGCATTGAAACATGCCCAGATGCCGTATCGTAGCCGGGCCGCCCAGGTCGAGTCCGACATTCCTCTGGAGCCTCTGCGCTTTGATTCTGTGGGCTTGTTGACAAGACTGGGCCCAGGGAACTCCCAGCGTGATAGCAGACCAACGTCGCCAAAGTGAATCAGCATCATAACAGAGTAACCGCCTGCTAGAAGCGCCCAGGGTGAAGCCGAGTGTAGATACCACCACGACCGTCTCGAGGACCATCGACAAGATAGGATTGAGAAATATCCTGGTGCTGAAGTGAAGTTGTCACAAGGTGTCCGAGGAGTAGGAGGGGTGGGCCGGTGAAAGATGACAGGTTATATACAGGCGGGCCAATGTATCCTTTATAGCGAGAAACTGGACCACGCGTTTCACGAGGGTGAGCAAATGGCACCCCTGCAACAGGCCGAGTCACTACAACAAAGTCGAATATCCATTTGATGTGGTTTGCTTTAGTGCTTACGTGCTCCACTCACTACCGGCTCTGCTCTACGCACCAGAGCATTAGTTAAATCCCACACCAGCTGCTGAACTTGAAAGTGAAAATAGTGACCGACATCTGACTCCCTTACCAAGTTACATGCGTTGTCAAAAGCATCCGAGTAATTACAAAAGCCACTAGCCTACAGACTTGAGTCAACAGGGCAGGAGTCATCGTTGGCTTATCACTACATTGAGTATAGGATTAATGACCTCTCGTGTCAACTTCACGTCTTCTCGGTGCGGCTCTTGCAGCTAGACCTTCTCGACCTGGCACACATTCTGGAGCTTGCTCAGCAGCGACTGGCTGTTCTCGCAAATCTTGGACCTCTGCTGCAGGTCAAAAGTCTTCCGGATGCAGCACTCGGTCAGGTCGCTGGAACGCGCTCATCATTTCATTTACCTGACAAAAAATTTCCAGTGCGCGATGACTTTGTCCCACAAGTAGATTTGCTAGGATGAATATCATGTAGAAGTACGTAGTGAGCTCACTCGCTTGAACGGCACCGATTGAAGCCCCCGCGCCGACCAGGATCGTCAGATGTCCTTTTGTGTCTGGCTCGCGTGGCAATGCAGACCGGATCTTCTTCACGTACATTGTCTGGATTTGTCCAGTCGGCGGTTCCGGCTGGGACTGCAGACTGGCGATAATTTCATCCAGGAGCGATGCCATGGCTTCTGTCCCTTCTCCTGGATTTGTGCTTGTTGTGATATGCTACTCTAGATCGGAGTGGGTTGGTGGTGCTCCTACAAATTGAGGGAATTAATGTGTATCATCATGATAAAGGGTCTGGTAGAGCAGTCCGGGGAGCCTTTGATATATATGGCTCCTCTGCCCGGCTGCTGGGCATACCATCATTGTAATTTCGTCAACGGCGCCATGTAGCCATGTCTTGGATCTTTCTTGGCAATGCCGCTATCCCTGGTTTCAATGGAAGCTCAATCTTGCGCTCATGAACAAGCTTTCAACACGATCGCAATGACGCCCGAATACGATAAGACCCCGAACTAGACTCTGTCTCCGGAGTCATGTTAACGGCCAGTGGCTCACGGCCAGAAAGGATAATTGGAACCCGACGATTCAAATCAATGGCAATGTCTGTACATTTACCATGGTCAACGAACGTCGACGTCGCTCGGGGTCTGAAAAGCACCGACATCACTGTTGAATTGAAGACGAGATGCGCGATTGCCCCACAGACTGCAGCCAAATTCTGTTTGCATCGTACTGCTCGGAACACGAATGGCTGTACCACGGAATCCCATAGAGGAAGTAGGTTTAGGGTTCGGAAATGGACCAAAGTCCTCCCACTCCGCTGCCCCGCATCCAGCCCTGGACTCACTCCGGTCAATTGATCTCATTTTTGACATATCAAGAATTCCATTTATCTGCTACTAGATCGGGAGTATAAGTATGAATGTAACAGGAACTCTGCTGATTAATCCTTTTGGAGAATTTCACAGACGTGGTGTGTATGTACTGGTGACGGGATTCTGTTCACGGTGACGGCGAAAATGTCATCATCTGGTATTCTGTCAGACAGCAACCCTCCGCCAACTGACGTTGATTGGGGCTGAAGAGTTGAAGGCAAAATGGCTGATTTCCCGTCACCTCTCGATACAGTTGAAGGAATTATCCCGTGAGGCAACTGATCGGCATGTTAACGGCGACTAAGTAGTATTGGTGTCTATTCTACACGCGTTTTTTTCATGGTTCGAAAGACTGCATAAGAAAAGACCGCTTCTTGTTATCCCTGGTGCTTTCCGATTTGTATGGGGCTCCACGGCTGACGAAGCCAATAAAACCATATTTCGGACATAAGATTAGGAGATGAAAAAATACTAGGCCGGGGAATCTGTAAAGGGGCTGTACTGAAGCTGGGGATAAGATTTGCTCCATAGACCTGATGGGAGGACATTGAATTAGCTCTTAATCCAGGGAGAAATAGTCTACATTTCTTCGATACCAAGTGATGCAAAAGTTTCACGAGCCGCCCCCAGTCGAATACGAATCCAAAGCTTCATCCATCCACCAATTCTAGCTGGGTCTTGCAGGAAAGACAGTTGTACGGGAACTCGGTTCGGTTCCATTGAACGTTGTATTTCTCCACTTCAACTGGTTCGATCGCTCTTCTACCGCAGAATACCGAATCTTATCATCCTGCTCGTTCCAAATCTATTTTCCTTATCATATTGGGAATTATGGAGCAGAGATAGTATATATAGTATTTAACCTCGAAAATAGTATCAATAGCTTCTTTAATCATGGAATATGAGAGGCTTCCGACTGATTCACCACAGATTGAAGTTCCGGAATGATCAACGAGTGTAAAGATTCAACCATCAAGACCTTCGAGCTCATGCAGATATAGAAAGCCCGTTGTTAGCTGATCTCAACGTTGCTGTTGGAAATGAGATCTAGAGATGTTCAGAAAGCAACGAGAATAGCCGAATGGATGTTACCTGGTCGACTTATTCACAACAAGCCATTGCATTCCAAGTACTAGTACCCGACTCCATATGATTTGACCCGAACCCAACACGCATGACTGGTGTCAGTTGAAACAATGCACTTCAGAGCAGTATAGATAAATGCAGGCACCTAGTAAGATATGGGTAGAATTAAGAATATTGTGATCACGTGGGGTGTACCTTCCTCCCTACTGATAGTACTAGGTTACCCCTCACTGCTAGATTGTGCAATTGTGGAACAGAAGATGATAAGCGTGCTAGAGGGCGAACATGGAACGGATAACGGATCGAGAGAAATCTTGGAACGCGCACGGAGGATATCTTGGCGTGAGACTAAACCCTGAGCGGTTTAGTCTCCGCAAAGTTTAGTTCGCACATGCCATGGATCGACAGGGGCATCATGGATTTGAAGCAAGGTACGTACTACAGTATTGTGGAGTTTTGTATGAAGTCGGCATCATCTTGGTCAACATCCAGCCTTAATCTAAACCTTTTCATTTAGCTATCTCAATTCCTTTAACGACTTCTTTCGAGAAATCTCTGCGCATATTCAATTCGGTTCACTGTGAACTCACGAGGCTCGGGTCGATCTACGCCTAAACGCTTCACGTTGACATATGGGGGTGTGGATCTTGCGATGGCTGGAACGTTGAAATGGCCATGTGATCATTTGCTGCAGTCCTTCTATGTCATCAACTCAGACCCACATTTGATTTTTGGTGAAATGTTCCTTCTCAGCCAGTGCAACAACGGTGCGACGACATACTGCTAATATGGTGAGGTTCGTGGGGACAAGTTGACGAACAACCTTTGCAGGTTGTCTTCACCTCATTAATATTAATTTGACCTTGAAGGTTAGTGTTTCACTAACCCCAGAAGTATACAGCCAGACCGGCATCTCCGTCGCGGTCTGAACCACCGCTGCAGCTAGCATATCCCCTCAATGTTCTGTATCCTAGGAGTGACAGCCAGCACTTCAAGTGCTTAAAGAATTATCATGCGAAGAAACCTCGGAACGGGGTTTTCTTCAGAGGACATGTGGAGTTGTGCAAGGAAGGGGAAAGGGGGAAATTCAAGGATCTACACGCCGGCCCCACCGCCCGCTAAAGTCGGAGTACGGAGTACAACCACATCAGATTCGTCATCGGCCATGAGGAAGGAGAATGAATATATAACTATCCAAATGCGAGCCATACCCATACCAATACCTCCACAGCATCTCGGGGTGTAACTGTGCTCATCGGTTCTCCAGATATTGGCCAACGTTCTTTTACCTGTCGCTCATTTTCCTTTACGCTCCTTCGTTGACTTTACTATTCAAGGTCTCGCAAACATGAGACTCGCCAACGCCTCGGTCCTGGCCATGCTGCCCGCCTCGGGGCTCGCTGCCTGCGGGACTGCCTACTCGGGCAGTCAGATCGACGGCACGCTCCTCCACTCTGTCGTGCTTGACATGGGCACCGACGCTGCCAACGTCACCGCCACCCAGTACGACCAGTACTTTAAGCAGGGAAGCGCCCTCCAGGGCGTCAAGGCCGTCATCGAAGACAGCCAATTTTACATCAACCTGTGGGCCATTCCAGGCACCGAGTCCGCCTTCAACAAAGTCAGCCAGTGCCTGAGCGACGGATATCTGGTGAACCAAGTGCCCTGGCTGTATTACGACACGACCACCGCGACGTGGTGGGGCGGCTACGAGGCTGAGACCGAGGCCAGCAGTTACGAGGCGGCCGCCCTGTCGGTCGTCACCAACATCGTCGCCGGTCTCGAGGTGCGCTTCTGGGATACCAACGGCGATGGCTACACCGACCTCATCGACGCCGACTACCTGGAGGGCGTCACCGTCGACACCATCACCCAGAACGCCAACGGCACCTACTCGGTCTACCGCGGGAATATCGACGTCGCCAACAAGACGCCCTGGGAGGGCACCATTTTCGACGCCGACCTTTTCAGCGGTGCCGGCCCGGCTATCCCCGCCAGCAACTTCGATACCACTATCAAGTCTGGCGACGTCGCGCTGTTCTGGTACGGCAACCAGGGCTGGGCCATGAAGCGCGCTCAGGACGTAGTCGGTCTCTTTATCGACGGCGCTGATCATACCTTCTACGACGTCGGGGGCGTTACTTACGAGGACGCCATGCGCTTTTCCCGTGACAACCTGCCCATCTCGAACCGGCCCGGCGAGTTCACCGGCGCGCAAAAGTTCTTCAAGCTCACCAATGACTCGGCCGCCGGGCTCAACGTCAGTCTCTGGCTGGTCCCCGTCACCAACACCACCAACCGCGGCGGCCCCGTCGGCATGACGAGCGATGGTAACTCGCGCGACTTCCTCACCAGGGCCGTCGCTCAGGCCCAGGCTCAGTTGGACAACGTGACTATCAGCACCAGCGGCGCCGACGTCCCGTCCACCCAGGAGTGGGTCAACCAAGCCAACTACACCCAGCTCCACGACGCCATCGCCAGGGCCAACTTGGCGCTTTCCCTGGCTAACAGCTCGTCTTTCCTGCTTGACTACCAAAGCTACGTGCTGTACCTCACCCTTGATGGCACTAGTGATGACATTGGCGCTGCCTTCGCCGACTTCACCTTCACTGGCTTCGAGAACGCAGAGAAGCTCGGCTCGGCCTGAGCCCGTCATTGCTGTGCCCCACCAACCTCCATATAATTGTATCCATAAATCAACAATAGATTCTATAACGTTGGGCCAGTGGGAAAACATAGACATATTATATAAACTCCTGCAATCAGACCCAGTATAGTAATGTCACGAAGCGTTTATATTCGAGTAGAATGTGTGGCAGAGAGAAGACTGATTTGCCGTCAGTGGAAAGAAAAAGAAATGCTCCGTAGGCGAGCAAGACCTTTATTCATGCGTAGAAAGGGGATGTGTGCTTGTAAGATACTCAACCACATCGAATGGAGTCATCCTAAAAGGGGCTCATAGGGACGAAAGGCCCGATATCATTGGTCGCCGTAATCGTGTTCCGGCTTGCGTTGATGCTCTTTCGACATTCGAGCCCCCCTATAATATACAATAACACCGGGCAGCCTCTTTCTTTCCTTGACCATTCACACTCCAGACATACCTCCTGTCCCTCTATTCCAGATGGTAGCCAGGACGATAGCAAGCAGTTACTTACTCTGCCTTCAGACGGCAAATAGTCCTTTCAAGAACCATGGGACGTCGGCCTTCTTACCCAGGAAGTTGAGGAGCATACAGGTGCTCACAACATACTTTGGACTGACCGTAATCCGGCAGACAAGATGAGTGGAATTCAAGAGCCCTTCGGCTAGTCAATGCGAACTTATGAGTGGGGCAGCTAGGGAATATGCGGCCAAGGCTGTTTCACTACAGTCCGCCACCTAGCTTCGCGACGAAGTATTTCCTCAGTCGTGATTCCAGAACTCATGCCAGAATACTCGCCCGGCCGGTTGCCCCAACGGGCGTATTCTGGATGCATGTCATGGAATACAAAAATCAACGCCACCATTCGAAACGAAGGGGACATCATCTGCCTGGGAAGACGACAAACGAGAGTGCTGGCCCAGGGGCGTTGGCGGCCAAAGAATTGGAAGTCTGCTACGAGCACTTCCTCATATCATGCCGCTGGAACGCCTCGACCAATTGCTCTCTCGCCTCTTTTTTGGTATCAATAACACTACGATCGAGTTAATTTGGGTGATCGAAAAGCCTCTTGTGACATCATTATACGACTGGGAAACTGGGTGCATTGCTCCGGCAGTCTCATCGGTGGGATGCTTTGGTGGCAGTCCAGTCAATCCGTTCGATTTGACAACAACCGGTATTAATGGTGAACCACCCATGACCCGATTATCAAAACACACTACTTTTCCGATCTTGAAATATCTGCGGAATAGGCGCGCCACTTCATTGAGGTCAGTTGGACTAAGCCCCAGTGATACACAATCTAAACATAGAACATCATTGACTGACATTCCACAGACGTTGTACGGTAAGGGGCCTGGCTAGAAAGTTGCTATGCAAGCTGGAAAGGATGTACGGCATCTATGGTTTGCCCTACAAGACTGTTTCAGTGCAGACCTGAATCATCACTTTCGCAGGCTTGGACAATGGGCTGGATCCATAAAAATGTGGGCGGTCATTGAACAAGAAGCACTGGGCTCTTCGAAGGAGACGATTTCCCCTCGCATAGTCTCCGGGTCGCCGGTGGAATTCAAACAAACATTGTCTTCCGCCAGAGATCACCAACAACGCCATTTCACCAAAAAAGGAGGCAAGAAGAGGACAACATGTAAAAAGGCAAAAACATACAACAGAAGGGATTCGCTGGTGGTCACCCACCCAACTACTAACCTCCCGGCGTGTGGCTTAAGTACGGCTGAGCGGACGGGAAGCCCTGTTTTCCACACCCTGTGGTCGTATGTACTTATCGCTCTTTGGTCACCAAATACATGAAAAAGTTGAAATCATAGCAACATCTCGCGCAGTACGCATGAGAAACCGGGTCACTCTAGAATATAGCTTGACTTTAGCACTTCATTGTAATATCACTGCCGCCGTTGAGAGACCCCCTGGTACTGTGAACAGCATTACTGTAATAGACCAGAACGTGGAGAATCATGTGAGGCAACGGCTGTATCTGCGATGTGAGAGATGCCATTGTGGTTCTGCTTTGTCCGAGCGCATCCAGTGGGGAGGCTTCGTTGGGGGTTCTGTCCACCAGCTTTCATCAACCCTTGCCTGCAAAGCGCAAGAGCCAACTTGAATTAGCGGCAGTCAGCTCTATACCAGGAAGGGGAGGACTGTCGAACGGACTAGACCGAGCATAAGCAGGTGCTACAAGTTCACCACAAAGCTTGGTTCCCACGTGGAGCTGTATGTGGCACGGATTGATAGATTCCGCCCAAGGCGGCGACGGCCGTATGCATCCAACCCTACGGGTGCTTGGAGGAATGCCTATTCCGGGTTCATCACGCATGAGGCTCTGGAATGGGCCTTGGAAAAATCCGCAGAGAGCATCCCAATGAGCTGGAATGACGCAACTGTCCCGAGGTCCACAAGCATTTCACCACCATGGGGGGAATGATCCGACCCTTTGAAGCATCTGAGCGTTTTAGTGACATCCTTGATATCAGGGGTATGATCTTCACCTGCTGCTTCCGGTGAGGCGCCCAGAAGCTGACTGATGGAAAATTGCGTAGTACCTAGGGCCTAGGGTTTCTCCGTGGAATGCTATATCATAATCTCATCCACCTGTATTGTGCGCTACCTAGCTTCCGATTATGCCTCAGCCTCTTCCATCTTTTTAAGCTTCCGCTATCTTTGTAGTCCATGAGCAGAAAAATCGATGTTCAGCAGAACCATGAAGCGCATTACCCCCAGGCACGGTAGCAGTCACCTACCCACCCGCCCTCTGGTAAGCGCTCCGAGCTAGATCACCATTAGTTCTTCAAGTGATGTAGTATCGTTGTCAGACCCCAAACCTACAACCCCCGCGAATTAGTTGTACTTCCTCATATCGATTTCCGCAAGTCGTGGCAGGGTCTTTCCAAAGAGGGAGCACAGACGAAACGGATAAACTCCCCACCACCAACAAGGAATTTCCACAGCGGAATCAAAACAGCGCCCATACCAGGCCTGTGGCTAGAAGGTCAAATTTATCAGATAGTAAAAAAAGGGTGCCCCCTTGTTTCATCCACTGACGGGTTCCATACACGTGATGTTCCTATGACTCCATGTTCTAATGACGCCAGCATCCGGCTACAGCCATCGCTATATAACATCTAGAATTCTGGGCCTAAACGGCAATTCGAAACATAAAAATGTCTCGCCAACTGTGCATCACATCTGTGGACGGCCACACTGACGTCCTGATTGCGGAGTTGATCCTGACAGATGCCAGATTCAACAAAACAAAACAATTGGCTCGATCACGGGCCCGTCCCTCTATCCTGATGCCGATTCCAGCAAAGAGCTTAACAAGTTAGGCGCTAAGATCGTCCCGCACGACCCTGGCCGGCTTAAGGACATGGTCCTGACTTTACAAGGTGTGGGCGACGATGCAATGTGCCTGATTCCACGGCCCATAACGATAGATATAATATCACCGTCGAGCTTATCGAGGCAACGAGGAAGGCCAATATTCCTAACGTATGCTTCGTTAGCTCGGCCGGTTGTGATTTGGCCGACCGGGAGAAGCAGCCCCGTCTGCGTGAGTTCACAGACTTGGAGGCCATGTTCATGTCTTCGAAGGGGGATCCGTCGACTTCTACTGGGCATTCTCCTGTTGTGGTGCGGTGCGTCTACTTTTACTTCCCTGTTGTTGTAGGGGATGAGTGAGCCTCAATCTAACATTCTCAGCGCCGGGTTTTATGCTGAGAATCTCCTCGTCTACTCGCGACAAACGCAGGAAGAAGGCACGCTTCCGCTTCCTGTTGGTGTGGACCATAAGTTCGCGCCCATTGCCCTAGGAGTAAGCGACCTTTCACCATTCTCGAATCTCACACTAATAGAAAAAGGATGTCGCTCAAGTTGTCACACATGTATCGTCTGGCGAGGAAAAGCATGGTTTCAGTCACAGGCACCGAGGGCAGCTTATGGTTTTGACGGGTAGGGCTCTTTACTTCGACAAGCATGATAATATACCTATCTTGCCTAGGGCCCCTGCTCTCGACTGGTGACGAGCTAGCCACCGCTGCAAGTAATGCATTGGGAGTTGATCTCAAGTTTGAGGATATACCCGAGTATGTACCCCTCCCCGCGTTTAAGGGTTGTTTGTACTGAGCGTCGTCGGCGAGCTGAGGCAAAGAAGGTCCTACAGGCACAGACTGATAGCTCTGAAATACAGTATCTGCTAGAGTACTACTCGCTGGTCCGTGAGGGTAAGACGAATGATATCTCCACCACTGCATTTCATGATGTTACAGGAGGACATCCCCAGGAGCCCCCGAATTTCTTCAAGACATATAGCGAGAGTTTTCATCAGACACGAGACCATGAAAAGAGAAAGTTGAGTAAGTAGGATTATGCAGATTACCTCTGCCACATCAGGTTCAAAATTGGTGTTGCGCTGATTTGTGTTGGTCTAGCTAGATGTACTTGCATACGTCACTGCTACGGCATGTTTTTCTGTGTAGCCTACCGCTCGCTATATGTTAATCGGCTGCCGCTCCAGGACTCATCATGGAGATTTCAAAATTTAATTTTTGCAGAGAATTCCACAAACAACATGTCGCGTCGCACTACCATCCCAGAACAGCCAGTTGGGCCCTTCTCAATAGGCCGGTGCATTCTCTATGGTTGTGGAGCGGGCCTGCTTGGCGTCGCGGCGTTAGTCCATCTCACTAGATCCTCGCATCCGAGAGCCTAGCAAAAGACTGACACAGGCAGCATGACGGTTGGGGAGAAAATCGAGCAATATTTCACTGGCAGACCGACTTCATATGTCCCGGGCCATACATTAGAACGGCTTTTGTCGCTCCCGGCTCGACCTGACTCAGAGCGCTTCGGACTGAACATGGCGATGCACTACGGCCAGGGAGCTGCTGCTGCGATTATCAGAGCCCTTATGAGCGCGAACGGCATTCGTGGGCCGTTTTCCGACTTCATGTTTATTTCTATCCGGTTGATGATTGACCAGACTTTAGAGAATTGGACAGGGGTTGGCGCGCCTCCTTGGTAAGTCGAACATGACTATGACTTCCTACTTTTTGGCTGGTGCTAACTGTCTATAGGACGTGGCCGGAAAATGAGCAGGTCATTGATATTTTACACAAAGCTGTTTTTGCGTTCGTAACTGGTTATTTCACAGATAGGTGGCTGCAGGGATAATAGCAGGACTGCTACCACAAACATGGAAGGTAATGTTCTTGCCGGAAAAGGACAAACACCGATTTTGCTTTGATGCAACTTTGTTGTAACAAATGAAGACCCTGCAGAGGCTCGCGGAGCCAAAAGTTCGGCTCATGCAATCATTATGACAGTAGCTGAAGCAGCCAATCAAACAAAGGGGTTACTAAGATGCAGTGCCAACCGCAAATATCAAGGGATGGTCGAGTATATTAGTCACGGAACGGCCAATTTTGATCTCCGACACAAAGAGGCAATGAGCAGCAAACGTCTCGAATTCCATAGCCGTTTACCTCCTCCATGTTCATCGGCCGATGAAACAAATGAATCACTCAAATACCAACCCCATAGAAGCCTGACTCTTAATAATATGCATGTGCGTTGAGTGGGTCATTATGTTATTTAGTCACAGTGAACTTTGCAGATGATGTCATGGACTCTGAGATGGTTGTGCAGGGAGCACGTTGATATTAAATCAGGAATGTGGATTCAATTGCTGAATGTGTCGGGTCTTTTATCATTCGCCGCTGCGCTGCATCTCTACATACAGCTGTTCACGAATATTGTTGAATATTTTCTCATACATTTCAATACTTCACCCTCTTTCTCCAATAGCCTGACCAGCTTCCTAAGATATAGTCTATAATACTTTTTGCCGACAGGAACCTACTAGCAATACCATGATTCAAGATGGCATGGTAAATCAGGGTAAAATATTGCCCTATATATAATCTATTATACTGACTACTCTGAAAAGAATGTCATTATCAATGTTGGTATCTCCTAAATTAAGTATCTTCTTGATACTCGATGCTTGCCCTCTGTTATCATTCCCAGTTGTAGGCTGTTCAGAATATAGATAGTCAATAGAGATGCGAAGCCGAGGCTTCCTGCCTTCACGGGGCAAGCTCTTTCACATAGTAAACTGCCTTTGAAGGACTATCCCAGTCATTATCAGTCTTCTCAAAGCACCTAGTCAGATCCTTCAAACCTAAATCAAGGATTTAGCTCGATCTAGGTGAGACTCAGTCATAAGCTACGGTTCTTCCCTACAACTGCAGGTATCTATGTTACTTCTCTAGCTCAATAACATGTCACCAGTGGGCAAGTCTAATTATGTATTAATAATCAATAAGTAAACCATTTCGTGAACAGCGCACTTGATTGGAAACAGGCTTTGTGCCCCGCTCGTCCACGCTGTTGATTATGCACATGCCCTGGTAATAGAAAAGGCAAATTTATCATCTGACAACTGCGTAGGATTCTTCGCCACGACACGAGGAATTGCTAATTGCAGGAGGGCAAGGAATGCCATGATGGAAGAAAAAGAAAAGTAGTCATTGCCAAATGGTCGGCCTTGATGGCTGTATCGTACAGGAAGTATTGAGACTTTTTTGACAGCCTGACGATGTCGGCGAGTAATAGCTATGGCTGCTGGGCAACCACCTCAATGCTTGAGTGCGACATGCTAGGCCATACTCGTATCGGAGCTTCACCTATCGGACTAGGACCATAGATTTGGCGTAGAACCCTATCTTCTCTAAGTTCTGATTCCTCGTATTCATCCACCGAAGACGTCAGAGAACCCTTCTTAAACCATCACTCTTTCCTGATCACGAACCGGCCTTCTTTTCCTCCACATTTGTTTCTAGCCAAACTCTTCTAGTACACCCTGTCCATCTATAAAATGAATTATGATTGTTTCTGTGCCGTTTGCGGTATTGGATTTTGCGGAATGCATTTTGGACACCCTGTGGGTAGTGCATCAGCATATCGTTACCGATCAGAAGAGAATTCGTGTCGGATATTGTACGCCAATAAGAACCTTTCTCAGCTTCGTGATGGAAACATATATGGAGGCCATGGCAACAACTACAGTCCCCGGATTGTGCGCCGGGAAAACATTTCCTGGATCCAAAAGGTACATTGTCTTGGTTTAAAGAATCAAGATACTTCAGGCTCAGGAGAGGCCTTTCTCTCCGAACAAGGATACTACGCAGATTCAGGAGAGATAGTTGTTCGGGCTGCATCCGACTCAATCGAACCTTCGAAACAGATATATTCATGCTACCGCCATGCCTCGCAGGAAGCTCCAGGCCCTGCTTTTCCTATACACAAGTGTTGTTTCGAAATTCTTACTCGAACACTGACAGGATCTACAAACATGAAGGGTGTAAGGTTGGATCTACTCTACAGAGTAATGAGCAGTCAGTGCAATGCTGAAGCCTCAGCTTTGCGTTTGAAGTATGGCGAAGATGTCCTACACGCACAAGAACGCTATTGGCAATGTATTCCAGGAGCAGAGGTAGGCGACTGAGTTCGAGAACTACTTACGCTCGTTATTTTTTAATCAAATGGCACAGTACTGTATAATTCGCCCGACCAACACCATCAAGTTGAATTATCTTGCTGAGATCCAAGCGGGAAAAGATAGAAAGTATCCGCCTATCCCTACGGATGTTTGCCCTCCTGAAAACCCATTCAGCAAGCTCCCACTTGAGATTATATACATGATCTGTGCGTTGGTCCCGTTTGATAGCCTTAAATGCCTAATGCGGGTTTCAAAAAAAGTCTACCTCGCCACGCAAAATAATTACTTCTGGAAGAAGTTCATGGAATGTACCATGCCCTGGTTTTGGGAATTGAAGGAAGAAAGAAGAGATGCTCTGTCTCTGAGTTTTGATTACAAGGAGTTATACCTTTGGCTTGATAAGGTAACTTCTGAAGTATATGGAATGGATGAACTGAATCTAATGAGTCTCGCCAATCGTCGACGCATTTGGGAGGTGAGTGAAGAGATTGCAGACATGTATTCGAAAGCTTTGGGTACAACCCTTGCGGCCCCTTAGACTTCGACTGAGGTCTGTCACCGGAGACCTGAAGCTTTGAATTTATAGTATGATATCTTGTCAGCTTATTATCATCGAAATTCCTTCTATCAATTAAAGTCATTGAACGCCGCACTACCAGGTTAGATAACTTTGCTAGTGCAAGTTTGAAGGGCCACATAATTTCCGAATTCCATTTAAACTCCCGAGAGCTTGAATACCTGCAGCGAGAGAAAAGAGTTTATTTATGCTCTTATTCTTACAGGAATACGTGCTATTCACGTGCCAGCAGTGAAGTAAAATACTTTCCCTATATAGAGCCTTAGTACTCTTATATATTAGTTTCAAGACTCTCACGGTCTTCATACTGTCCCATGTAGAAACAAGGCGTGATGAGGGGAGAGCTTAGTAGGCTAAGGATGGCATAAATCATAGAACCGATATAAATGATCTAAACCTGAGCCGTTTCGATAAGTTTTCTAGCTTTATATTATAAAGGTAATGAATAGTGAGTAATTCTAATGATATGAGAAGATTATTCCTGACTTTGGCCCTCCCCTACCGAGGAAACTATAAACGTACAATAGTATGGTTGTGAACACGAATTCTCAGAATTATGTGCAGTAAGTATCGGTCGAAATAATATCATTCCTAGGCTTAAAATAGTAACCGCTAGAAACCATTCGCCACGTGACTAAGAATCTTATTTTATGGATACTTATTACTGATATAATCTTCTTGAAGTTATTACTTGTACTCCTGATGTTGAAGTAACTAGCAACTGAGATTTAATATATATATTTACTACTACTGATGTAGCTATCTAATTCTATACCCTTTTCTTCATCATTTATGTATTGTACAACACTTAGAGCTCTCGCCTGCAGTATACAATAGGTTAAATAGGACTGTATGGTGATTGCAGTAGACACCTGAGTCTCCATGGTCGTTTGTTACGAGAGCCAGCTGTTTTTAAACTCCCGACTCTGCCTTAGCTAGTCCACTATGCCCTCTGCTCTTGATCGCCAAGGAAACTTCAATGTCGGGACGCCTGTGGCCCCGTGTGTAGTTCGCTCGTATTGAGGATCGATTCTGGTCAGAGCCAAGCACACTAGCCTGGAACCGGACAACTCAGGCCAAGAACAATGCCCAATTCCGCTCCTTCAGCTGTTGCGCCAAGTTCTATTACTCCATTTCTCTCTTTTCTTTGTCATTGGGAAGGGGCACAACCCTTCTAAGGGGCTGGGAAAACCTTTCATACTGACAATCCCATTTTGCTCCCCAGCGTCATCGAAAACCTTGATCAGCTAAAAGGCGACGGAGTCAACCTCGGCTGGCTGATCGGGCGCCCGGCGCTTCCGCAGAATAGGGAGGCAGAAGACCAGGCAACTACACTATGGCTTGCAGCCTTCCTCTTGGGGTCTGCGATGGTGGCGCGGGGCGAGATAGGGCTCCTGATCATCGAGATCGGCTATAACGAGACATCCTACATCAGCGAGGAGGGCTTCATCACGAGCGTCTGGGCGATCTTGCTCAACACGATCATCGGGCCTGCCGCGGTGGGGCTCCTGGTCAAGTACTGCCGCAAGCGCATCGGAGAAGGCGAATGGGGGTTTCAGCGCTGGGTTGTGGCGGTGGCCCCGACTCAGGGGCTCGAGAACCCTCACTACATCTGATTCTGTGTGAGGTATTCTCTTCGTGCGGGCGAGACATCAAAGAAGCTAGAAGGCGAGCAGGATGGTCAGATTAGCAAGCACTGGCCCCCATGAAGCCTGCGGCAGGGTCAAGTCAGGGCTGGCGGCGGGACTGTGAGGCGCACTTCTCCGGAATCGAGAGGAGTCTTTCTCTCTTCCGGAGGGTGAAAAAGCTCAGAGCTGAGAATACAACGCTTCAGTATCATAGTGAGATGTCCCGGTTAAGGTTTTCTGTGCAATGTCGCGAATTTCTTGCTTGATATCGTGGATATGCTCTTAACACGCGTGCAAGAACTCCCGTGTGACTGCATGCATGGCTAGTTATGTACACTATCCTGTCTGGGGTTGATGATTCACTACGAATCAGAAGCCATGGATGGCGAGCAGTCAACGCTTGGAAACTAGTCCAGATTTTGTAATATGCATCCAGGTGGCTTGGCAAACGTTGCACTGATAGGCAGTAAATTCCTATGGGTGCCAATCACAAGCCTAAGGCAACAACTAGACAGGAGGTCGCCTCCGAAGAGGATCTCGCCATAAACTGAGTACCATGTTTGAACTATGACTAGGTGTAGCCTCATAATTGAGATACCCCTGTTATGATCAGCTCTTGGGTTTTCCTGGACGAGATCCGGTTTTGCTTTCGTGAAGAAGTCCTCCACGGCGCAAACGCCGACCCGGGCTCCATCCGAGACGGCGAACTCCAATCGCCGATGCCAACGGCACTGAACCGAGTTGTTTAGTATAGAACCCACACAACGTGGACCTAGTTCTGAGTAGTAGTTAGCTCTTCTTCTAGAAGCCTGTTTAGAACTTCGAAAAACTTTCAGTGGGAGAGAAAGCATCGGACAGAACAGTGGGATCCCCGAGCTCCACACCCATAGCACCCTAAACCCTCATATTGCTCTGCCCCTACCCATTGAACTACCTTCCATCACTCTCACATATCACAACGAGGATGTCTGCGTACGACACACAGCCATGTATACCGACGCCCAGCACCTCCCATCCGCACACCCTCCCCCATCTCCGCCGCCTCCATGCGACCAAGAACCCATAGCCCTCCCCATCCCCAGCACGCACCCTTTCCCTACGAAGAAACCGTCGCGCAGACGCCAGCTAACTCGCTACCTCAACCACTCAATCCACGAAGACCTCACCCTCGAAGCACAACTCCTCCTCCTCTCCTTTGCCATCGGCATCCAAGACGCCGCCGCCTGGCGGGACTACGGCTGCTTCGCCTCTAATCAAACGGGCAATCTGCTTTTCCTGGCGATCGGCGGCGCGGGACTCGCCGATTCCGGGGACTACTCCTTCCGCCATCTGGGAATGAGTCTTGGGGCTTTCGTGGCCGGCGGGCTGGTGCTGGGCCAGCTGGGGAACGGGCTGGGCGCCGTGCGGCGGCGCTGGTGGTTGCTGCTTTCGAGTATGCTGCAGACGGGGATGGTCTTTGCCGCGGCGGGGATGTGTCGCCCTCATCTACAGTCGAAACGCTTCGCATCTCGTGAGGTGGGGCAGAAGGGGGAGGAGGAGGAGGCCACCACGCTGGCGACATTGTTCCTGCTGGCGTTCTCGTCCGGGGCGCAGGTGGCTATGGGCCGGGCGCTGAAGATCACGGATATCACGACGGCGATGGCGACGGCAGCGTATGTGGATGTGGTCATTGATCCGGACTTGCTGAGGTGGAGGAATCGGAAGAGGAATCGCAGGGTGCTGTTTTTGGGGTTGTTGACGGCCGGGTGTTTTGTGGGGGCGGCGGTGGAGAAGGCCGCGGGCTCGAGGGTTACGTTGCTGGTTTGCGCGGGGTGTAAGGGTCTTGTTACGCTTGTTTTTCTTTTTACGCCGGGGAGTAAGAAGGAGGGATGATTGGGGGGAGGGTGGGTGGGTTAGAGAGAGCTTGGGTTTATGATTGGGCGTAGAGAGATGAATAGAGGGAGGATGATATGGTAGACCTTGATGGTGATGGGGGAGGGCTCGATTCTGTGATAGATCCCAAGAGCGCTTGTGTAGGGCTGGGGACATATCTGTACATACTGTTGATTTCAATGCAATTACTCTGTCTACTTTGGAATAAACAACAAAGCTCCCTGTTCACAAAGCTCTTATGAACAAGTGTATGCTTACTTGCCTCCACCACCGCAGCTTGAAACAATTCAAGGGGAAAGCTCATGAGCTCGAGTTATCAGCACACGACCAAGCCGACCCCCGCCCCCCCCTCCTCCACTCGTTCTGCCGAGAGGTCGCGATGATATTCTCGATCGAACCATACGTGTCCGCAACCATTCAGAACATCCCCAAAACAATGACCAGCATGCTCCACATGAAGAACAGCGCCCATCGGAGGGTTGGCTGCTCGCGGCCCCGTCCCCGATTATCATGGAGCCACATACATCCCATTGGCTGGAAGGACATGAATGTCGCGAGGAGAGCACCGATCAAGGACACGAGATCACTGAAGATGGGGATTCCACTGGCGATGAGGTATGAGGAGACCGTGACAGCCAAAGTGCAGCTGAGCCAGGTGGCCCAGGGGGTGAATGTGTTGGCGGTTAGAGGGCTGGAGCCTCGGAGGATGCGAACGAACAGGTACTTGCTGGCAAACTGGAGATGCACGAATGAGGTGTTAGATATGTCAACTCAGAGTAGGATCGTAGCGATGGGGACTCACGTGGCAGACAACGATCGTACTGGCGATTAAGCCGAGAAGAGCGATGCCATAGGAGACTTTCTTGATCAAGGTTCCAGCGGCGAGCGTCTCTGGGCGAAGGAGGGCTTCGCGCCCGCCCACGGCAACTACCAGGACATGATGACCAGCCCGGACGTCAACACATTGTTCTACGAGTTCTGGTGCGACAAGACCCGCGCTCGACTGACGTGCAGCCTGGAGCTCGTGGAGCAGCTCGCGCCCACGCACCCGCCCTTCGCCTTCGGTACGAAACGCCCCTCCCTCGAACAACACTTCTATAAGGTCTTCAACCAGGACAACGTCACCCTCTTCCCCTTGAAGCAGAACCCAATCGCAAGGGTAACAGCTACAGGGATCCAACTCGCCGACGGCACGACCATCGCCCTCGATGCTCTGATCCTGGCCACGGGCTTCGACGCCGTCACCGGCAGCTTCACCCAGCTCAACATCACTGGTACCAACCAGAACCTAGACCTGGCGGCGGAGTGGCGCGTCCGCACGCGCACGCATCTCGGCATGGTGACGGCCGGCTTCCCCAATCTCTTTTTCCAGTACGGGCCGCAGAGTCCCACCGCATTTGCGAACGGGCCCCTGATCTCGGAGATCCAGGTGGAGTGGATTTTGGCCACGATGGTGTATATGCGGGAGCGTGGGTATGCGACGGTCGATGTGAAGCCGGAGATGGAGGAGCGGTGGGGCAAGGTCACGGAGGAGGCGTGTGCGCGTACCCTCATGGGGAGTAATGAGACGACGTGGTATATGGGGGGCAATGTGTCGGGAAAGAAGCGGGAGGCGTCGGGGTATATGGGGGGGGGTTGCCGAAGTATCAGGAGGATTTGAGGGAGTGTGTTGAGGGGGAGTGGGAGGGGTTTGTCATGGGTGGATAGTTTTAGGAGTGTCATGTTGTGTGTATATTTTGAATTGCACCATCAGGTGGACGCTTTTCTGGATAATTGATTCTGCAGCTGTACAGATATCAGAAAGCTGAGAAGTATCATGCATGCATAGATACATACATGATAGAATCCACACTGTGCTTACATCAACTCATCCTTCAAAGCGCTGCTTTTACCCCCTTCCCTTCCCCAATAAACATGAATCCCCCCCTCCCGCCCAAACATCGGATCCAACACTGCATTCTCCACCCCCCATACCTCCTCAAACCGTCCCACATGCTCCCCTCCCTCCGCCCACGACCAGGTCGCCTCCCCGGGATACGCCCCCATCATCATGAACCCCTTCACTTTCCCAGCGGCCGGCAACTCCCCCACAAACGCCCTCTCATCCGCCGCCTCGATCCTCTGCGCCCCACCCCCCGTCAACGCCACGGGCTCTTCATTCGCGGCAGCAACATTATAGGATTTATGCGCCACGCCCGCCGGGATGACAAAGAGATCCCCGGCCTCGACGTCCACAAAGACACTGCCTTCCTCGAAGTCCGTGCCCGCCATGCCGTAGGTATGTTTGGCTGGGTCGTCGGCCAGGTCGGCGGTGCCCCAGCGGATGCGGCCGGGTCCCGACAAAACGACCATGACCTCGTGGGTGTGTGGGTGGTAGTGCGAGCGCTGGGCGTGGCCGTAGGCGGTGATCCAGCGCGGGGTCCAGTTGTTCTGGCGGAAGGTGTCGTAGGCGAGTCGGGCGTTGACGGTGCCTGTGGTCGGGTCGAGGAAGCAGTTCTTGTAGAGGAGGAGGGGTTTGTGGGAGTTGGGGATTAGGGGGGTCGGGGGGATGGTGTAGGGGATTATCTGGGGCATTTTGGATGTTTTTCTTTGCCAACGGGGTTGATTGTGATGGATTGGTAGAGGTATGATGTGAAGTTGGATTTGGGTGGAGGTGAGAGGAGGAGGTATGGTTCGTCGATGCTTATTATAGATGATAGCCCTAGTCCCGAGTATAACTTGATGGTTGAATGACTCGGCTGATTTGGCCGATGCGCCACCTGCGCGGTGACGTCCAGACCCCACGGGAAGCGGGGGGTTCGACATGACTGATTACGCTCTCTTCCACCTTAGCAAAACCCAAGTCTATATTCGAACCCGTTCTTTGGCGAAACACGGATGCCGCTGCTCTTGTGGGAGCGGCAGATTGTCGGCGCAACCAGGTGAGCTCGACCTCGCGATACTCGTCTATCTCACCCCACAAAAGCCACTCACCGTTACCAGCGCCAAATATGACTGTCACCACGAATTAAGTTCTACATTGGAACTAAGCTTGCCTTCTCATACCCTACTGTCGATACAGATCACCAACTGGGCGCGCATCTATCGACTACTTGATTATACGGAGTATACTGCAATAATTCCATCCACGAACTATTTCCCGTAAGCAAACTTCATTTCGCATGATTAGTTACTTAAAAGCTGCACAATCTCCTTCTGTCCCCGCGAAACCGCATACCGCGAGGCCGTCCAACTCTTATTCCCAGATACCATGGTGGCATCCGCGCCAGCGTCCAGCAGGAGTCGCACAATGTCCGCGTGGCCGCCTTCAGCCGCTGCCGCCAGCGCCGTGTAGCCATTGTACCGGGCGCCGGGGGCGTTCACATCCGCCCCAGCCGCCAACAGTCGACAGACGGTGGTCCGGTGACCGTTCAAGGCCGCGCCCTGGAGCGCCGTGAAGCCATGATATCTCGAGGCTGGGGCATTCACGTCTGCACCGGCACGGAGCAGGAACTCCACCATCTCGTCATAGCCGCCCAGCGACGCGGCCTGCAGCGCGGTCCGGCCCCGGTTGCTGGCCGGGGGGGCGTTAATCTCCGCGACGGGCTGCTGGTTGATCTGGTGTAGCAACCATCGTAAGATCTCGAGGTGGCCGCCCTCCGCTGCGGCCTGCACGGCGGTGCGTCCCATGTATTTGTGCGGGGGGCGGCGAATGTCCGCGCCTGCGGCATTGACCAGATGGCGGACGATGGGGAAGTGGCCGGCGCCTGCGGCTAGGGCGAGCGCGGTGCGGCCGCCGTTGTTGCCCCCGGGAGCATCTACTTCCGACCCTGCGGCTAAGAGCGTCTCGACCACCTCGAGATGTCCGTTGGCTGAGGCCGCCTGGAGTGCGGTTTGGCCGTAATAGCCGCGGGCGGGCTCGTTGGGGTTGCTGGAGGGCTGTCTCAGGAGAATCTTCACATGGGAGAGATCGCCTTGCGCGGCGGCTAGCTGGAGGGGGGTCCAGATGCTCTCCTCGTCTGGTTCTTCTTCCAAGGAAGGTGTTCTTCCGTGCATTGGGCTTTGAACTGGTGAAAGACTCATTGAGGGTCAGGGCACGTCTCTGTTGCCAGACTTTGGTGAGCAACTACAACGTTGCGAGTTCAGACCTGGCTTTAGTCCAACTATTGTTTAGTTAGTGCTTACGCGGTTATCACGGCACGGCATCTCTTGGCACAATGAAACAAGCACTCCGACATGCTCATGCGAGATAAGGACAGGTACAGTACGACCGGGCCGCGCACGGGATTTACCCCAATATATCCATTCTCGATCGTTTTGAGCTACTCGGGCCAGCATCGTCTAGCAGGAATTGATCAGTCTACCATTTCTGGACTGGAGAATTGTCTAGAGTGAGCATTCGAGCAGATTACCTCTCCAACTTCTTTAATGCCTCTCGGGTTTATCGCCCTCTGAGTGTTTGAGTGTGTCAGTCAATGTTGACAGTCACTTCCCGCCCCTGGCTACTTACATGTAATCAATAATCATACACACAACCTGCAGTGCCATCAGCATCCTTCTACAACCCTACAGACCACGTCCTGCGAAGAATCGTCAGTCATGACTACCCTGTTGGAAAAGGCTGTGTTCCACATACTCTTCGTACACAAGAAGAAGAAGATCGCAGACTTCCTTCGTACCACCACACGGGGTCAGTCAATCAATCGATCAATCGATTGATCGGTGCTAACCATATACATCTAGAGTCGCTTTTATCCGAGCTGCACATCAACCTCGTTCGAGAAGTAGTCACTTCCATCCCGCCAGAGTCCATCTTCGAAGCGTCTAGTATCCAAGACTCGACCCATGAGCAGCCGCCTTGTAAGTGCTACCCTACCTAGCCGCGCGAGAGCGCAGCAAAGACTGATGCAATCCTTTGTACCTGTGTCAGACTGGTCGAGGAAGAGTTTTGAAGACCACCTCGCCCGAACCCATCCAGACACAGTCATCCCCGACACGGCGATTGACGTCCTCTGGTCCTGCTTCTGCTTCTACGCCTACCATCCATTCCCCATCTTGGAGACGGACGACCGCAAGGTGGAGCTGCCCGCCTTCGAGCGTGGGCTCCTCCTGCTGTCGCGGCAAGGCACCTGGCTCCTCGGGACGATACAAGATGGCTTCGGCCTTTGCTGGGCCCGGCTGAACGAGCCGTGCACCTGCGGGCTCAGGATGAATCGCATCTTCCGAAGCATCAGCCGCTTTGATCGCCGCCAGTCACGCTCGGATCCACCAACCGACGGCTTCGACACCTTCGTGGCCAACGACGTAACGGATGCGGTCCTCGCAATCTTCCCCTCCCACCCCAAACTGCATCCGTCGCTGGAGCAGGTGCAGCCGCTGGCGGAAAGTCTGCTCGGGGGCCGAACGGGCCAATATGCGATGAGGGCTGGGGACTTCACGGCTTTACTGTCCTTGGTCATGAGGCTCAGAGTCCAGCAACTGACCGACGACAACCGAGACGGTCATCACGGCTTCCTCGACGAGCCCCGTGCGGACCAGGAGGAGTTAGCTAGGGTTCTGGTGCGACCGTTCAGTCATGAACAGAACGAGTATCTGGCTCCCGAGATGGTGCTCCGGGCTTTGGACATTCTGGTATGTTATTTTTCCTTTCCGCTCTGCGGATCCCAGCGCTGATGCCTGTCGCGACCAGCCCAATCTCGAACAATCGTTCCATCAGCTGTGGGCCACTCTTTTTCCACTCAGCCCGTCCACGGAGCGACCGATTTTGGAGACTGGATCCTCCGCACCGGACACTATGGACGCGATCCTCCGTGCAGTATCACTGTTCACCCCGCCGTTCCAGACCCACCAGCGTTCGGAACTGGCACGGAGAGTCCAGGGGATCACCTTCCACAACTGCTACGATATGAACTTCCAGGGCTCGGCCGACAGTCTCGACCTGCGGCATATTCTCCAGCATGCCACCACGCACAACCATCCGACCGGTCGCGCGTATCTCATTCTGTTTCTGGGGGATCACCAAGTTCACGACACGGACAAGGTAGTGGTGGGTGCATTCTTCCGTGACCTTACACTAGCCACCCCTACACCTACCACCGCAAAAGAAAACGACGACAAGGCGCCCCCCAAGAAAGACAAATCGACCGTCGTCGCCCGTCCACAGCTTCTCTTCCAGCTTCAGCCACGGTTCAGCCTGTTTCGCTGGACCGGAGGACGCAGCAGCATGCCTCTCTCAGTCTCCCCGGCAGACAACAGTCCCCCCGGACATGCCGCCCCCCGCAACTGCATCGGAGATCCCGATCAATCGAGGGTGGCACTCGAGATTGACGCAGACACAAAACAGGCTACCTTCTTGCGCCGCGGCACCGTCCGCACTGCAGGCACACTCTCCGGTGGGTATGAAGAGCTAACCAGGAAGCGTGACGGAGAGAGTGGTGGTGGAAATTCGCGAGAGCGTCAAACAACATTCACCGTGGGCCGCGTCGCGGTCTTCCGTGTCGAGGGCGGGCCGACCTATGCCTATGAGAATCCGTGGTGAATGAGAGGCGGCACGGACTGTACTCCGAGTTGTCAGGGAAGTGCTATGACTATATCCCATTCCGAGTACGTTTTGGTCTATTGCCGTGTTTCACATATCAAAATCCCGGTTATCTTAAAAGGGCGATCAACACGTACACACCACTGCTGATGGAACCAACTTGAGCAGATAATGAATCAGACTATCAATTTACCCTCTGATGATCATGGATGTTAACTTTAGGGTTGACATTGAACTCCTCCTAAGTCAACCTCGCATGATATGGAGATTATAACTAACATTACGTAAAAGCCATTTTGCGCAGTGCGTGATTGGAGTCCAAGGCACCTTGGGATACCGTATTGTTGAGCCTTCATTTCAATGTTGTTCGGGCGCTGGAAGGGCCTCCCCTCTCGAAAGGAGGTCGGATTGGTTGGAACAGTATGAATAAGGGCGACAGTTGCCTCTAATTTCGAGCTGGTCTTGCATCTGGGCCCATGCTTCTTTTTATGATCTCGAGTTACAGAAGCAATTTCATGAAGAGGAAGGAAGCAGCAAGCTTTGCGCCGAGGGAAAGTAAAAAGCGAGCAGAAGGAATGGGTGGGCAACATCACTAGGTTCGAGATCAGGGCTTCTATAGTCAGTCATTGCTATGGTCGCGTGAGCGTTTACCTGGAATAGCAATCAAGTTGGTCCTACGCCCCGCTATGCAAGTCAGATGACAGCAGCCATGATTAAAAGCGTGAAGGCTCGGAACACTCAACAGCATCCAAGACTAGATTTTAAGGAGAGATATCGATGTGTCCTGCATAGATAAATCCTCGGGTATTGTCATTGTAGGAGTCGAAAGAGGCAGACCCGCCCTTTTCAACCCCACTTCCATGCAACCGTACAACAAAGCACGGATTTCCCGTGTGGTGCACGACCTCAGGATCGACGAATCTCATTTCCTCCCCGACTGCATTAGCGCGCCTCGGCACTGGGGAAATGGGATGATTCCTGCATCGGACCAAAGGGACGACCTTCTTCCTCCGAGCTGGCGGTCGAAATCACGTTCCGCCGACCCCTCCCTCTCCTCTCTCTCATTTATCCAGAGGAAAACTTCATCTGCTGGTTGACTCGTGCACTCGTTTCCCCGCCAGTCACGCAGACAATGAAACGTTTCTTTCCCAGGCATCATGAAGCTGTTCCTGGCCGAGGTCAGACGCCCACTATGGCCGCGGCTTAGGGTGCCGCATGCTTCCAACGCGCGCACTAGAAACCTCACGTCCACCACAAGGCGCTGGCAGCAAGATCACAATTCTTCCTCTACTTCAGACCTATTTAATTACACATCGGGACGATGGATGTCTGTAGCTGATTTTAACTCCCGACCGCACCGTGCAGAACTGACCACCTCTTCGCTAGCCACGACGAGCATCTCCGCAGGTCCCAACGCAGACGCCCGTTCAACGTCGCCGAACTGAAACGACTGGCCGCCGCCGCGATCAACGCCCCCGCAACCGCGGTCGCGAGCCTACAGAAACTCGGCGAGGGCGGCTTCAACCGCACCTTCCTCGTCACCATGCGCGACGGCTTCCAGCTCGTCGCCCGCATCCCCTACCCCGTCACCGAGCCCAAGTACCTCCTGGTCGCGAGCGAGGTCGCCACCATCGAATACCTCCGTCGGCGGGGGTTCCCCGTGCCCCAGATCTACGGGTACTCGGCCACAGCGGACAATGCCGTGGGCACGGAGTATATCTTCATGGAGTGCGCCGCGGGACGGCGCCTCACGGATCGCTGGTTCGATCTGTCCGAACAGGAGCTGGCGGGGGTGGTGGAAAGGATCGTGGAGCTAGAGGCCGGGCTGTTTGCCCTCGATTTCCCCGCGAGTGGGAGTCTCTTCTTTGAGCGGGACCTGCACTGCATGGAGACGGTGCGGATTGCGGACGAGGCGGGTGCCGTGGGGGAGGGTCAGTTTTGCATTGGGCCGGAGGTGACACGAGCGCTTTGGTTGGGGAAACGCCGGATTTTGCCGGTGCATCGTGGACCATGTAAGACTTCTCTCGACCTTCTCTTCGCCTGACTGCAGATGGATGAGCATGCCGATACTGATTGGAATAGACACGAGCCCCGTAGATGTTCTGGCCGCTGGGGCTAGGAAGGAGATTGCATATCTCGAGGAATACGGTCAGCCCGTACGAGCGTCGAAGCCTCTGCCCGTAAATCGGTCGTACAAGCAGTCACCCAGGGACCATATCAACAACCTGGCCGACTACCTTCGGGTTGCGCCGTACTTGGTCCCGAGCGACGCGTCCTTGACACAACGTACGATCCGGCATCCGGACCTGCAACCCAATAACATATTTGTCAATGAGGAGCTGGAGATTACGGGCCTGGTCGATTGGCAGTATAGCACTATCCGCCCGCTGTTCCTGCAATGCGGGGTCCCGACCAATCTTCAAAGCGCGGATGGCGATATCCCCAGCCTACTGCAAGAGCCAAGGTTGCCGGATGGGCTCGACAGGCTGAGCGAAGCAGACCAACGCTGCGAGCGAGAGCTTTTCCGAAGCCGCTGGCTGCATTACTGCTACCTCACGGCGACGGCCACGCTGAACCCGTCCCATCAGGCCGCACTGACGGGGGACTTGGGAGTATTGCGGCGGAGATTGTGCCATCAGGCGGCCGTTCCCTGGGATGGGGATAATGTCACCCTCAAGGCAGATTTAATTCAGTTGACGATGAACTGGGATCGGCTTGTACGATCGGAAGATGCGGACACCTCAGCCTGCCCGATCGCGTACAGTCAAGACGAAATGAATGAGTGTCTGCAGTTGAACACCGCGCAAGTAGGACTGAACGAGCAAGAGCGGCTGTCGAGGGAGATATTGGGTGTTGGATCTGAGGGATGGGTGGCTGCTGAGCGATACGAAAACGTCAAGGCATGCGAAGAGGTTTTGAAGGTTGATGAGATCTCTGTCGTCGATACTAGTAAAGAGAGCATTTTAAATTAGTGGTTAGCTAAAAGATTGAGCAAGTGGGTGGCCTGTTGTGCGATGGTCGCAGTGAACTATGAGTTGAGAAGGTGGTGATAAGCGGTTTGCCTGAGGTCTGCGCGAGCGTCGCCTGAAATAGACTTCATCGGTTGGTGGTCCTTGATGGGCGAACTCCAAAAGACAAGATCTCACTACCAAATCCTGCGGTGAAGTCTTTATTGGGTCCTTCTTCAGGCAAAACAGATCAAGAAGTCCGATGCGCTAGGATGGATCCTGAGAGACCTTATCGAGAGTTATTAGTGTAGTTTGACTTTCCAATGGGATCTTCGATCGGCGACAATGGGCAGTGCTCCCACCAACGCACAAGAAGTCATTGAGAATCATTCTGCATTGTCGATTGTCCCGACTAGGAGGATTGATGCACGAGTGCTAGCCTATTATCATGACCACTTCCGTGGGAAACGTGTTCTAGGTCCGTAGCTAATGTCTTGCATGTCTGACATGGCCTTGTACGAACCGTTGCGTATCCCGTCATTCTACGAAGTAGAGGCCGATGAGCCAGTGCTCCAAACATAGGAGTGGAGCTCACTTTGAGAGTGGACAGACGACGGTTCCGACCTAATTTGCACCTTGCATGGAGGGAGACCCAAGACATGAAGTTTCCGATCGGGCAAAGTGTGCTGAAAATAGAATATAGATCCCTTGCTTTGACCTCCCACTGGATCCGCGAAAGGGGCGACTAGGCCTGCTTCGGCAAAACGCCGCACAGTTCAACGTTCAACGCCGGCTTTTTCCTTGGCTGATAAGCCTTGGATGAGTTTGGATGATTTGAGTCAAGCAACGGGGCGCCATGTCTCTCAAGTTTCGATGCAAGCGACCGTCCATCTGGTTCGATGAATGTGAGTTGGCGTGGTTGACACATTCCCGGGGAATGAATCATCCATGCCCCCCCCTCCCCCCCCCTGTCCCTGGAATGAGATCGGGATTGATTCTAGGCTGATCCATGGATCCTGGGCAGGCTAAATCAAGGTTCAAATCGAGTTGGATCAACACGAGATGCGATCGACAATGCTAACTCGGTTAAACTATTCTAAACTGAGGAGCTCGCATGGTGAACACGGCGGGCGATATGGTCACGATGACTTCATGGGCCAGGAAACCCTTCCATATTCCTTAAGCATACGTAGTGGGTATTCCCTGCAGCATTCTGGGGAACCAGCGATGGGGACGGCATCCACCAGATTGCATCATGAAAGAGGAGCCCAGTGGAGCCCAGGAACGAGGTTATTGGGCATAGTGGCCTGCATATTTTTACCACAGGTCAATCTGACAGGGCTTGCGGAAGGGCCGGTGAGGGGAGAGGGATGAGCTGATGGTAAGGACCGAGTAGTGACAGGGGAGACGATGTTAGTGTCTGTAAAATCCGGTAAAATCCACGAGAACAAGAACAAGAATAAGAGAGCAAGAGAAAGAGAGAGAGAGAGAGAGAGAGAGAGAGCATGACTGGGGTCAGCAGAGCAACGAGCAAGAGAGAGCAAGAGAGAGGGAAGAATTGCCAAGGTCGCTTCAGGGTCCAGAAAGTGTCCAGACGGGCAAATACACAGCAAACTACTCCCAACTGGGCGATAGTCACTCCAGGCCGCGCAACTCCCTTTTCACTGACCAGTAATCACTGACTGCAGTCTCTCACTTACTCTCTCACTCTCTCACTCTCGCTCTCTCTCTTCAAGCCACTCAATCTCATCATCATCATCATCATCATCATCATCATCATCATCATTATCAGCAGCAACATCGTCCCGCCCGGAACAGGCTTTCTCTCCTTCCTCCCCCCTCTCCCTCTCTTTCTCTTGGCTATCTTCCTTTCCTCGGACTGGCAATTCTTTTCTCTACTCTTCCTTTCTCCCTTTCCCTCCCCTCTCCGCCCCTCCCCCCCCCCCCATTCCTTCTTCGTCTAGCTTCGGGGGTCTCAACTAAATCGACAGACACAACGCCCCGTCTTCCGGTAATCTCCTGGGGCTCTCCTCGTCACTCGTTCCACCTATTCAGTCGTCTCTCCTCCTCCTTCGCTGCTGTCCTCTCGCTTGATCCGTTCTGTCGATATATCATGGTTTATACCCATCAGTAAACATTCCTGACGGTCCCCACCGCCATAACTTCAGCCGCCAAAAAAGCAGTCGTCATGGCACCTTGGCCTCAGGCCTGGACCGCCAGTCATGCTGCTGCTCCTGCCAGACCGACGACCACTTTGCGATCCCTCCCTCTGATCGCATACCTCTCGCTCTTCGCCCTCGTCGCCTCCACCGTGGCTCATGCGCAAACTGTCGCTATCCTACCTTCCGCTGCCTCTTCCTCCTTTCCCTCCTGCGGCCTGACATGCTCCATCCTCCTCCAAGCCCAATCCGAATGCCTGCCGCCCGCCGCTCCGCAGACAAACTCCGCCACTTACGCCTCCTGCTTTTGCCATTCACATAATCTCACCGAGCTTCGCACCTCCACGGACGTCGTCTGCGGTGATAGCTGCACTAATGCCTCCGATCGCTCGCTAATACGAACATGGTACAACAACTACTGCGCGGTCGGAGCCCCAGTCGCCGACGCTGGCAGCACAAACAACGAGGAGGAACAATGGCAGGCCCATTCCGCTCAATCCGTCACCAAGATCCGCGCATATAGGAGGACTGCCGCGTCCAACGCCTGGTAGGTATTCCGGGGCGACCAGACTTCATCGACGTGGGCGCAAATATGCTGACGTGTCGCTTTGCAGGTGGTCAACACACTACAAGTGGGTGATCATGGTCATCATCCTGGTCGTCGGGTTCAGCATCATCAGCGTGGTGGGCGTGTGGGCGAAGCGCCGCCATGATCGGAAGTACCCGGGTCTGTATCACGCCGCAGCTACGGGTGGCACAGACAGCGCTCTGCTGGCCGCCCGCCAGCAGGAGATCGGTCCCGCGCCGGGGCCTGATACACGCGCGCCGGGTCAGTTCATGCCCGCTCAGTATGACCCCGCCCAGAATCCGGGATCCATCGCCAGCAGTTCACACACCAACGTCGCTGCCGCTGCCGCTGCCGCTGCCGCCGCTGCAAATGCCCCCGGGCCCCGACCAGCGCGCACGTCATCCCGTCTGCAAAAGACGCAACCCGTATCCGACAGTGACACCGAAATCCGCGAAGTGGCTCGGTGAAACCAGACTCGCGGAGGAGGTCTTGTTTGGAAGGAACTGTCCACGATTAGTCATCACGGGAACCTTTCGCTGTCTCTGAACAACTGGCGGCTGGTCTAAATCTATTGAAAGGCAACACGACATCTCATACCCTCCCTCCTTTTCTTCTACCTCTTCCATTCATCTGGCACACCATATGCCATGGATCGATAACCCCTGCAGTTACCCCTGCAAGGACAAAAGAAAAAGACATGGTCCCTCCCGCTGAGCTTTGCATATATCCGGCGTTTTGATTTTGTCTATAAGGGTATTGATTATTTGCCGTACAGTACCAGTGATCCTTTTGTTTCCCTCAAAATGCACAGTACAAAGCATCACTTTACTTTCGTTTTTCGCTTCGCATCACACAAATCCTGTTCCGAATGTTGTGCATAGTTTCCTGGTTCAGGCATTTTTCATGTGGCTGACTTCACGTCATCTTTCGATCGAATATATTCTTCTTCTGTCATCTTCCAATGTCTGTCCTCTTGCATATTGTTGACCCAACGTGGGGTTATGGGAATCAACCCTCTATGGTCTCTGAAGCCATCGGGGACACTCAAATCGTACGTTTCAGTGACGGCATGAGAGCCTGCATGCTACCGATTGCACCGAAGATATTATCGTAGTCTGTCCTATTTTAACCAAAGAGGGATCACCCACCGCGCTCGCCCACATGCAGAAATCAGTAGAATACCAAAAAGAGAGATGGATGAACATGCTATGATTAGAGATAAGTCATGATTCGTACAAAGCTGCCCTATGGCTGATGACGGATATAAGTCTAGATGTACAGCGAAACCAGTCATAGTGACCCAAGGCCTGTGGAAGGGGAAAAGAAAGAACAACATCAAAAAAAGACGCTAGCGGTAGTATGTCCTCTCTGTCAGCTTACGACACCGTGATACTCACGATCTTGATATCCTGCTCGGGCTTCTCCTTGTAGGTCTTGGTGTTCTCGATCTTATGCACGACGTCGAGGCCCTGCACGGCGCGCCCGAAGACGGTATGCTTGCCGTCCAGCCAGGGGGTCTTCTCGGTGGTGATGAAGAACTGGCTGCCGTTGGTGTTGGGCCCCGCGTTGGCCATGGACAGGGTGTAGGGCTTGTCGTGCTTGAGGCTGGAGAACTCGTCCTCGAACTCGCCGCCCCAGATGGACTCGCCACCGGTGCCGTCGCCAAGCGGGTCGCCGCCCTGGATCATGAATTTGCGGATCACGCGGTGGAAGATCGTGTTGTTGTAGTACCCGGCGCGGGCGTGAGTGGTGAAGTTCTCGACCGCCTTGGGCGCCGCCGACGGGTACAGCCGCAGGTGGATGTCGCCCATGGTCGTGTGCAGGATCGCCGACGTGCCCAGCTCGGCTTTGTGGGCGGCGGTGGCCTCGCGGCCGCCGGCGCCGGTTTCGCGGGGCCGTTCGTTCTGGACGTCGCGCGTCGACTTGGAGACGTCCGTCTCGTTGGTGAAGAGGTAGAACCGGAGTTTGCCGTAGCCCGTGCTGATGAGGATCGGGTCGCGTTCTTCCGATTCCTGGAGGAGCGGGTTGGCGCTGGCGGCCATCGAGACGGTCACGACCCCCTTCTTCTGCGGCTGCCCTTGGTACATGGCGAGGTTGAGGGCCCGGAAGGGCTCGTCCTTCGCGTAGACGCGCACCACCCGGTTGGTGTACGTGTTGATGCACTTGACGCCGTGCAGGGAGCCGTACAGGATGAAGTGGCCCGACTCGTCGAAGAGGACGTTGACCTTGGGCTTGGTGATGGGGTTCTCCAGCTCGCGCTCCACCGCCAGTCGCCGGCCGAACTCCACCTCCTCGAGCTGGTGGAGCGCCGTCCCGGCCTGCTGCATCTCCATGATGGTGGTGAGGGATTCGTCGTACTTGCGGTAGAGCTTGCCGGAAGCAAAGTCGAAGACGCGGATTTGGCGGTCGGGGAAGGATATCGTCGCGAATTGCTCGCCGGAGGGGGAGATGGACAGCGAGGCAGGTGTGGATTTGGACTTCTTGAACTCGAAGAGGTTGGTGGATGATTTCAGTTCGAAGACGTTGTCGGGTTTCTCGAACGAGCCGTCGCCCGCCCGCCAGTACTCGATCATGCCGGACTCATCGGCGGAGATGACGCAGTCGTACGCGTCGTTGAACGCCATAGCGACCACGGGGCTGCGATGGATGGACTTGACGGTATGTAATGGGGTGGGGTTCTCGCCACGGCCGTCGAACACTTGAATCATGCGGCTTCCTTCGTCGGTCACGGCCAAGAGCGGCAATGAGGCGCCACGGCGATGAACCCAGCAGACGCAACGCGGGTTGAAGTTGAGAGTAAGCATAGCCAATAGATCTGCAACCAACATTAGACTGAGTCAAATCAAACCATGACTGCTGATAATATACCGAAGGTGATAACGTCAAAGATCTTGACAGTCTTGTCTGCTCCGGTCGTCGCAAAGCTCCTTCCGTCGGCACTGACGCTGACATGCTTGATTTCGGTTGAATGCGCCTTGAACTCCTTCACAAACTCCACGCCCACCGCCATTTTCTTCCAGAATTTGACGACGCCATCGATCGAGGAGGTGATCAGGAAATCAGTATGCGGAGTTACGGTGAGGAAGGACAATTGATCCTTGTGCATGAGCGACTTGGAGTACCGCGACGACGAGGGCAGCGCATTCACGTAGACTTTCTCGAAAGGGAGCTTGCGGCGTTTCTTCTTCGGGGCATCTGCGGAGGGGAGAGCTGGGCCGAAATCATCATCGGATGACGAGTCGTCACCTATGGAAAAGCGTCAGCAACTGATCGAGCTCGAGGATGTCTTGTTTCGCAACCGTGTGCTAATCCTCCAGGTATCATGCGAGCGTACCATCCTGATCGCCGCCATCCACGGCGGATATAGGGCGTTTGGCGGATGCCAGCTTCTGCTCCTCTTCAGCAGGCATGATGAATCGAAGTATTAGTTAGTGAGTGAGGCTGTAATTGAGGGAAATGTGAAGTGGACGAGGGCGATGGACGACAGGAGACCGGCGACAGACGGGGCGGGCGGTCAGGTCGGGCAGTATCACGAACTTTTCTGGTTTGTCCCGCATTGGCTAGAGTTGGCCGTTCTCTGCGTCCTCACCGTCTAGCTCAAGCAACCCCTGAGCTGCCAGCCTTTCCCTTGACGGTAGCCATCTTTTTCTACTATCTACAGTCATCATGGTACGTTTATCTGACAAACCTTTGTCTCTGTTTTATCGATAGTCAGTGCTGACCCGCCTTCAGTCCTTCGCCAACCCCACGCAGATCTTCGCCGACGACGTGATCGAGGAGAAAGGAGAAAATGCTCGTCTTTCCGCCTTCGTCGGTGCTATCGCCGTCGGTGATCTTGTGAAGAGCACCTTGGGTCCCAAGGGAATGGACAAGATCCTCCAGTCAGCGTATGTGGGATAATTGATGGGAGCGAGGCGGGGTTGCCCGACCGCGAGCAGTGGGCTAATTCCATCGTTGCCTCTAGGTCGACCGGCGATATCCTTGTTACGAACGACGGTGCCACGATTCTGAAGTCGATTGCCCTCGACAACGCCGCAGCCAAGGTCCTCGTTAACATCTCGAAAGTTCAAGACGATGAGGTCGGTGACGGTACGACATCTGTGACGGTGTTGGCGGCCGAGCTGCTGCGGGAAGCCGAGAAGCTGGTCAACCGCAAGATCCACCCTCAGACTATCATCGAAGGTTACCGGATAGCCAGCAAGGCTGCTTTGGAGGCTTTGGAGAAGGCCGCCGTTGATCGTAGCACGGATAAGGAACTGTTCCGCAAAGACCTCCACGCAATCGCTCGCACAACCCTCAGCTCCAAGGTTTTGGCCCAAGACCGTGAGCACTTCGCTACCCTCGCCTGCGATGCTGTTCTCCGCCTCCGCGGCTCGACCGACTTGAGCCACATCCAGATCATCAAGAAGGCCGGTGGCAAGCTCAGCGACTCGTACCTCGACGAAGGTTTCATTCTCGACAAGAAGATCGGTGTCAACCAGCCCAAGCGCCTGGAGAACGCCAAGATTCTGGTTGCTAACACGGCCATGGACACGGACAAGGTGAAGATCTTTGGCGCTCGGGTGAAGGTTGAATCGACGGGCAAGCTGGCTGAGCTGGAGAAGGCCGAGCGCGAGAAGATGAAGGCTAAGGTTGAGCGGATCAAGGCTCACGGCATCAACTGCTTTGTCAACCGTCAGCTTATCTACAACTGGCCCGAGCAGCTGTTCACGGAAGCCGGTATCATGTCTATTGAGCATGCCGACTTCGACGGCGTTGAGCGCTTGGCCCTGGTCACCGGCGGTGAGATCGCCTCGACTTTCGACCACCCCGATCAGGTTAAGCTGGGTCACTGCGATGTTATTGAGGAGGTCATCATCGGCGAGGATACTCTTATCAAGTTCTCGGGCGTGGCTGCCGGTCAGGCATGCACCATTGTGCTCCGTGGTGCCACGGAGCAGCTCCTCGACGAGGCTGAGCGCTCCCTTCACGACGCTTTGGCTGTCCTTTCCCAGACCGTCAAGGATCCCCGTGTGACTCTTGGCGGTGGATGTGCCGAGATGGTCATGGCCAAGGCCGTTGAGCAGGCTGCTCAGAACACGACGGGCAAGAAGCAGCTGGCCGTCGACTCGTTCGCCTTGGCCTTGAAGCAGCTTCCCACCACCCTCGCCGACAACGCTGGCTTGGACTCCAGCGACCTTGTGACCCGCCTGCGCCAGGCGATCAACAACGGTATGACCAGCTCCGGATTGGATCTGCTCACCCCTGGCGGTGGCATCGCCGACATGCGCGAGTTGGGCGTCGTGGAGGCCTACAAGCTGAAGAAGGCTGTGGTCTCTTCCGCGTCGGAAGCAGCCGAGGTAAGAACGCACCCCCTACTAATTGCTCTTTCCACTACTTTCAGTTTGTTCATACTAACATGCTCATTTCCTGCAGCTTCTTCTACGTGTCGACAACATCATCCGGGCGGCACCTCGTAGACGTGACCGGGTTTGAGGCGAATTCATGTGAAAATAATTTCCAGCGAGGGGTGGAAAGGGGTAATAAATAAAACTCGATATTTTATGGTTCCCATCAGGTTTTGATCTGGTATCCCGGAGACCGGGACGATGTATGTTTACATAGCGCGCTTCGAGTTGGAGTGCAGTAATTACCGTTCTATAGACCTTTTTCGATAAGCTATAAGATCAAGGCATATAACTAGCTGCTAAAGGTCCCTGCACCCAGGCTGATTGTAGATTTTCTGCAGCGTTGGCCTTATCGCCGATCCTCCTAGTTTGGATCTTGCATGGATAACAAGATAAGCATGGGGCTTATCACACCTGGCCGCTCGTCTTGAGAATAGTCCAGAGAGAAAGCGATCGACGCGTAGAAAAGCCACCCATTTAAACATGTGAGCATTGAAGATGTTCAATGTATTGCTTTGTATGGTTTCGGTCTAGTGGGACGGGACTGCTGCTGAAATTCGTCCCTGAATTGATGTATAACTGAATGAATTTGCCGACTTATTGGTCATGACACTGGAGTCCCGGTCGGAGAATATATTACGTGCAGCCGCGTGGCCGGTCCGGTGTTATGCGGAACAATTCATGCGCAAAGGATACGGGAGGAAGCAGAAGAAACAGGAGTTCTAAGACTTTAATAAGCCAAATGCTCATTGGTTGATCTGCTGTACGAATTTGACGAAGCACAGATAATGCTGCGAGTAGACTTGAAAAATTTCATAAAGGAGCAGGTGCCTGAATGGAAGCTCAGCTCTGGAGCAGTGCGGGAGATCCACCGTTCAGTTGGAGTCCCGTGAGTCGAGTTGGACCCTTTCCCCGCAGGGTCACTGCCCACTTGGCCGGACTTGGTTTAGTTTCCCTGGGAAAGGGACAGAAAGGGACAGCAAGGTACCACCTGATGTAGCCTAATGTTGAAAGTAGGGTAGGATACACTGGTTGATTCCTACTAGTATCCTATTTTTACCTATTCCGACTCAACTGTCTGCCAACTGACCGAACTGAGCTGACTGACTAGGTCATCAATGTGACACCACGGCAGAATCCTCCCTCTTCCCTCTTACTCTCGTTAAATAGCCTAATGCCGTCATGGCCATACAACTACTCCCACAATTACTACTTTACCGGCCCTCCTTAGTCTCTCCTTCTTCCCTTCCTCCTTCTTGACCCAACTCTTACAGTCCCTTCATGATAGACTCATTCGTGACCCACAAGCAGTGAACTTACGTCAGACCCAGTGCGCCCTCCCCCGCGCCCTAGTCCGCATACCTGCCATCTAAAACCTGTGGAATCTCCCTTCATTCCTCATCTTCGACCTCGACTTCGACCTCGACCTCGACCTCGACCTCGATCTCGAGCCCCTCCCGCATTCTGCCAATCCGTGTCCGCCGCCGTCCCTGCACCCTTCATCAACGCGTCTGCGCATGTCGAGGCAGCGGCCGCCTCATTCCTTCGCTTAAGACACTCCTCATAGTCTATAGAGAATGATATTGTCCCCGCGCTGGTGGACGGCTATGCTGGCCGTCCTTACCGTGAGCCAGGACACAGTCAGAGCCTTAGAGTTAGATCTCAATGATGAGCGTAAGCGCATACTTCCTGTCCACGAGCATGATTCATGCGCCGATCACTGACCTTCCTCTACATAGAATCGATCAAGAACGCCGCCGCGACGGCAGCCTACAACATGATGAGCTACTACCACGGCAACGAATCTGGGCAGATACCGGGCAAATTGGTAGATACATGGTGGGAAGGAGGCGCCATGTTTATGACACTGATTCAATATTGGTACTGGACCGGCGACACATCCTACAACGCAGTCACCACCGAAGGTATGCTCTGGCAGAAGGGCCAGAACGATTACTTCCCCGCCAATTACAGTAATTACCTCGGAAACGATGACCAGGTGTTCTGGGGGCTGGCCGCAATGACGGCAGCCGAGTTGAATTACCCAGAGGAGGACGGCCAACCGTCTTGGCTGTCGCTTGCTCAGGGTGTCTTCAACACTCAAGTACCCCGCTGGGACACTACCAGTTGTCAAGGTGGTTTGCGCTGGCAGCTGTGGCCCTATCAGGCTGGATATACCACCAAGAACGCTATCTCCAACGGAGGTCTCTTCCAATTAGCGGCGCGACTGGGCCGCTACACCAACAATGAGACGTACAGCAACTGGGCGGAGAAGATCTACGACTGGATGGCGACCACCCCGCTCCTGAGAGAGGACGAGTGGTCCATTGCTGATACGACCACCACGCAGACGGAGTGTAAAGACCATGGAGATCTCCAATGGACGTACAACTACGGAACGTACATCAGTGGAGCTGCCTATATGTATAACCACGTATGACACCGTCCTGACCATAGGGTCTCCCTCAAGTGACTGCAGGAAGCTAACAAGACTTAGACCAACGGAGGAGACAAGTGGAAGAAGGCGCTGGACGGCTTGCTCGGAACTACCTTGCAGAAGTTCTTCCCTCAAGAATTCGGCGGCAACATCATGTCCGAGATCTCCTGCGAACCGAACATGATGTGCGATCGCAATCAAGACTGCTTCAAGGGGTTTCTGTCATCCTGGTTGACATTCACCACCACCATTGCGCCGTACACCGCGGGTGAGATCATCCCGAAAATCCAGCAGTCGGCCCTCGCAGCGGCCAAGCAATGCTCTGGCGGCAAATCAGGCACTGAATGCGGCCGCCGCTGGCACCAGGCGACTTGGGATGGGGAGACTTCGCTGGAGTCTGACATGAGTGCACTGAGCGTCTTTTCTTCCACTCTGATTGCCCACAAGGGCCAAGAACAGAGTCACCAAGGACCGTTGACTTCGGATACTGGGGGCACCAGCAAGAGTGATCCCAACGCGGGCACTGCCCCGAAGGAACCACCCAACGAGCTGCCAGAAATCACGGCTGGGGATCGGGCGGGTGCTTCGATCCTGACCGTTGCGTTCGTGTGTGGCTGGGCTGCCGCTGTGACCTGGTTGGTTTATGGTGGTTAGTTTAGAGTGTAGACGTATATATATATTTCTTTCTATGGCTGGCGTTGGTGTTGTATATAGGAAGGGTTTCTGGACTGGCGTATTTCCCTTGCTTCTTGCTTGATAAATGGTAACCTGCTTGCCAACGCTCGATGGCTCTTTGTATCATTATTTGGAGATGGTTGCCCTTTTCATGTTGGTTGTCTGTTATGCGGGCTTGCTGAGAGACCCGAGAAAGGCATTATGCTCCTAGCTGCGGGTTTCTGCTTCAATGAGCAGCAACTCGATAGAACTTTGCTTGAAATGTGACTTTTCTGGATAGCTGAGTTTTGGCGAGAGTAACGATTCCGTGAGATAGGCTATCAAGCGACAGTTTAGCTTGCTAAGATCTTCTGTACTGGGCTCTGGTCCAAGTAATTAATGTGGTCAACTCGGCAATTTACTAGTACCGTAACGCAGGTTAGAAAGAACAAGTACGAAGATGTTCAGACTGGGAGAGGCCTGGTGCACAGGTTTGGTGGTCTACGACGATATAGGGAATTCAATTCAGTCAAATTTATCATTCCATTGGTTTTATTGGACAGTTTATAGTATGTTAAAGGTGCGAGACTCGTAACCCTAACATCAAAGAGTTACTTGGGAAGGGTCATCCTCCCCAGACATCTCAGTCGGCATCAACAGACACACACGTCCCAATTCCAATCGGATGGTTCCTTGTCCCAGAAGGATGGTTGGAGGCGGGGACAGGTCAGCATCGCCCGGGATAGTCGACCGAAGTCAACCATCCACGAGAACTGGCAAGCTAAACGCCTTTCTTCATCTTGGATTTAGTTGTGTGATGAAAAAAAAAAGAAAAGGAAGAAGCCGCAACCGCAATCGGGCGAGAAGAAAAATGATTTTCCTCGGCAAGCGGCCGCTCTGTTCTTCCGAGGGCACCTACCGTCCGGAGATGCTAGTCTTTTTCCGGCCTAGTGGACACAGCTTCCCGCGGGCAACGGAGGAGCAGCAGTTGTCCGACAAGCTGATAGGAAGCGCAACTGCCTTTCCAGTCCGAGGTCGCCTTTGTCGTTCCCTCGCAGCGCTGCTCGCTTTCGCTGCTCTCCCCGTCTCCCCCGTCTCTTATAATTCCGGGGAACGAACCTCGCTTCTTTTTCGACTTTTCCGATTGTCGCGTGTTTCGAGGTCTTGAGTGATCAATTCATTTGATTCTTCTTTCCATTTCAGTCTCAGAACTTCACCATCCACTCCACTACATCACACCACACATCATGTTGGGTCGTTGCGGACGACAGGCTTCGCGCCTGCTCCCGCGCACTGCGAAGCCGGCCTTCGTGCTCCCTCGTCCTATGCGCTCGGCGGTCGCTTCGTTTCCTTCTATGCCTGTTCAATCTCGTTCTGTTTCCTCCTCCAGCCCTGAAGTGCAACAAAATGTGCGTTCTGGTCCTCCGATGAGCATCGCTCGCATGGCCCGGCGATGTCTGATGTCATACCACCCGTACTGACCATCGGAGTAGTTGCTTTCCGCCCATCTCGAAGAGTCCGACCCCGCCATCTACCAGATCCTCCAGAAGGTTGGTCTAGCTGCTAGGAATATATTCAGGACGGGAATTGATGGATTATGATTATTGCAGGAGAAAAAACGCCAACAACATTTCATCAACCTCATCCCCTCCGAGAACTTCACCTCCCAGGCCGTCCTCGATGCCTTGGGCAGTGTTATGCAGAGTCAGTCATCAACCCTTTCGAACACACTTGACTGAGATACTGGATTGAGTATTGACGTTCACCAGATAAATACTCCGAGGGGTATCCTGGAGCTCGGTACTACGGAGGCAATGAGTTCATTGATCAGTCTGAGCGCCTCTGTCAGCAGCGAGCGCTGGAGACCTTCAGTCTCAACCCGGAAGAATGGGGCGTGAACGTGCAGCGTGAGTACCTTCATTGAACATATCATTATTGATATTGAAGGCCCTAGTCTAAATGATTGCAGCTCTGTCCGGATCCCCTGCCAACCTGTACGCCATCTCTGCCGTCCTAAACACCCACGACCGCCTGATGGGTCTCGACCTGCCCCACGGCGGACACCTGTCCCACGGCTACCAGACACCTACCAAAAAGATTTCTTTCATCTCGAAGTACTTTGAGACTCTGCCATATCGGTTGGACGAGTCGACGGGTCTCATCGACTATGACAGTCTTGCGAAACAGTCTCTTCTCTACCGCCCCAAGATGATCATCGCCGGTACCTCGGCCTACAGCCGTTTGATCGACTACGCGCGCATGCGCGAGATCGCCGACGCCGCCGGTGCGTATCTGCTCAGTGATATGGCGCACATCTCCGGTCTGGTCGCCGCGGGCGTCCTCCCCTCGCCGTTCACCCACTCCGACATCGTGACGACCACTACACACAAGTCCCTGCGCGGTCCGCGCGGGGCGATGATCTTCTACCGCAAGGGTGTCCGCCGGACGGACAAGAAGGGCAACAAGGAGATGTACGACCTCGAGGGTCCGATCAACGCCTCCGTCTTCCCCGGCCATCAGGGCGGGCCCCACAACCACACAATCACCGCCCTGGCCGTGGCGCTGAAGCAGGCCCAGTCGCCCGAGTTCAAGACCTACCAGCAGACCGTGCTGGCCAACGCCCAGGCTCTCTCGGAGCGACTGGGATCGCCCCTCAGCAGCGGCGGGCTGGGCTACAACATCGTCTCCGGCGGCACCGACAACCACTTGGTGCTGGTGGACCTTAAGAACCGCGGGGTGGACGGCGCGCGCGTGGAGCGGGTCCTCGAGCTGTGCGGTGTCGCCAGCAACAAGAATACGGTGCCGGGCGACCGGTCGGCGTTGAAGCCCGGTGGCCTGCGTCTGGGCACGCCCGCCATGACGACGCGGGGCTTCCAGCCGGAGGACTTCCGTCGGGTGGCGGATATCGTGGACCGGGCGGTGGTCATCACCCAGAAGCTGGACAAGGCCGCCAAGGAGAGCGCGACGGCCAAGGGTGTCAAGAACCCGAATACGGTCAAGGCCTTCCTGGACTACGTGGGCGAGGGTGAGGAGATCTCGGACATTGTGCAACTGCGCCAGGAGGTCGAGGACTGGGCGGGCACGTTTAGTCTGCCGTGGGCCAAGGACGAGTAGTTTCGTTGTTTGTTGCTAAGTTTTTTTTGTTGTCTGCATGCCTGCGAAGAACCATATCCCTACTAGATGAATGAATGTTGATGTCCTTTTATTTTCGGTTGGTTACTCCAGTAGCGAAGCGCATCGCGAGACGGTATTATGTAGATGTAATACACCTTGTAGGAGTGAAAATGTAGTCACAACAATTGCTTGGCAGATCCCGGTGGCAGATGACAATATGATAGTTGGCGATTCACATCCTGTCCTTGGAATCCTGTTCAAGATCCACGGGACGGAGAAAGTCATAGTTCACGGCAAGAGGAGAGCATTTCCATGGATGGATGGATGGATGATGCCGATTACCTGCCCGCAGTGCTGGCGGTGGCAGACGCCCGTAAGTACTTATAGCTGTGGCTACGACGATACATGATTGGGCAACGATCCCGGAGCTGCTCAACAGATCCAGCCGATTGGCTGACACCGCCGAGGTTAAGCTCGCTGCTGCGCGGGCTGCCGACTGATAACGTTCCGTGCGGTACCATTGTGTAATTTATGGTATCGTCTGTGGTACTATACAGGGAGGTATATGTGCACTCATCGGAGAGAGAAATCATATACCTTCAGTATTGAGTCTCTGAGAAGTATTGTGGAATGTCATTGAATATAGTAGCCAAGAGGGTATGCCCTGATGAATTCAGTTGCAGCCGAATTCAATGCCGAGCTTAAGGAGATCCCAGCCATCCCGCAATGACGTCGATGACACGTGATCGTGACTGCAGTGGGGGAAGCTTCCCCTCAAACCGAATGGTAAAGTATTGGAAGGAGGAAGGGGAGGTAACTTTCACCCCCAATTCCACTGGCAATTAAATAGCTGGCCTATCTCCCCCCGGCCTAGGGCCCTGGTGTCAAATCTCTGGCTGTAAATTTCTCCTCTCTTCCTTTTTCTTGATTATAAATCCCCCTAACCGATCGATCGTGACTTTCTTGTCCCTAAGTTCTTGTTCACAAACACCGCTCATCCCCTCACCGCAGTTTCTCCGAGGCTTTTCTATCCCCGCACTGTTGGTCGGAAAGAGGCAGAGGCAGCGAAGACGAGGACACGTCCAACACTAGCTTTTTCCAGTTTGCGGGAGAGCTGTTTTTCCTGGGTTTGGTCTTGCGAGAGAAAAAGCGCATGCATATAATGGAGCGGTTTGTCCGTCCGGTTTCGAAACAGTTGTTGAGATCGTCGCGGCCGCGTTATCCCTTCCGTCTTCCGCCGCCGGTTTATGCGAAGCGGTTGTATAGCAATATGGGGCATACGGTACCTCCGGTGAGTTTTCTGGCGTCGGGGCTTTCGTGGAAGGGTTGGAGAGGTTGGATTTGAAATGCTGATTCCTTTTTGACTTATTAGTTGAAAGACAGGTCGCTCTTCATTGAGAAGGCCTACGTCAATGGGGAGTGGGTTGGTGCTGAGTCGGGGGAGACGTTTGAGGTACATGGTAAGCAGCTCCATCATCTCGCATACGGGCGGTAGAAGATAGGGGCAGGCTAATAATGCTTCTCACTCCCTCTCCGCAGACCCCGCTTCAGGCTTGCTCATCGGAACATGCCCCGAGTTCTCCTCCGCAGATACCGAGAAGGCCATCCTGGCAGCCAAGGAAGCCTTCCCAGGCTTCCGGAAGACTCTGGCCCGCGAGCGCGCGCGCATGCTGCGCCGCTGGTACCAGCTGATGGTGGATAACGCGGACGACCTGGCGACATTGATCACATGGGAGAACGGCAAGCCCTTTGCCGACGCCAAGGGCGAGGTCAACTACGCGGCCGGATTCTTCGAGTGGTTCAGTGAGGAGGCGCCCCGGATCTACGGCGACACAATCCCGTCCTCGATCGCGGGCAACCGGGTCATCACGCTCAAGCAGCCCGTGGGCGTCTGCGGCTTCATCACCCCCTGGAACTTCCCCGCCGCGATGATCACCCGAAAGATCGGGCCGGCCTTGGCCGCTGGGTGCACGGTGGTCGCGAAGACCCCCGGCGAGACGCCGTTCACGGCCAACGCCCTCGCCGAGCTGGCGCACCGAGCGGGCATCCCCAAGGGCGTCGTCAACATCGTCACCGCCTCGAAGAACACCCCCGAGGTGGGCGAGGTGATCACCACCCACCCGGAGGTCCGCAAGGTGTCCTTCACCGGTTCCACGAACGTGGGCAAGCTGCTCATGAAGCAGGCTTCCTCGACGATCAAGAAGGTCTCGTGGGAGCTCGGGGGCAATGCGCCGTTTATCGTGTTCGATGATGTCGAGGACCTCGACGCCGCCGTGGCCGGCGCCATCGCCTCCAAGTTCCGCAGCTCGGGCCAGACGTGCGTCTGCGCCAACCGCATCTACGTGCAGCGTGGGGTGTACGATGAGTTCGCCAAGCGGTTCGCCGAGAAGGTCAAGGGCTTCAAGCTGGGTGCGGGCTTCGAGGAAGGGATCACCCACGGCCCCGTCATCCACGACCGCGCCGTCCAGAAGGTGGACGAGCACGTGCGGGACGCCGTGTCCAAGGGTGCTAAGGTCCTGGCCGGCGGACAGAAGGCTTCGCACCTGGGGCCCAACTTCTACGACCCCACCGTGCTCTCCGAGATGAGCAAGGAGATGCTCCTGGCCTCCGAAGAGACGTTCGGTCCCGTCGCGGGCCTGTTCCCCTTCGAGACGGAGAAGGAGGTCGTCGACCTGGCCAACCAGGCTGAGGTCGGCCTGGCCGGATACTTCTTCAGCGGCAACGTCAAGCGCATCTTCCGGGTGGCCGAGGCGTTGGAGGTGGGTATGGTCGGTGTCAACACCGGTCTGATCAGCGATGTTGCTTCTCCGTGAGTGCTCTCCCAGTTTGCAATGGTCTTCCGTGGATTGTCAGCTAACAGCGTCTTAGATTCGGCGGTGTCAAGCAGAGTGGCTTTGGCCGGGAGGGTAGCAAGTATGGTATCGAGGAGTTCCTGGTGGTCAAAAGTGTTACCTTTGGCGGAATGGGCGAGCCCCTTCAGTCGTGATTTGGGGTGTATTGTGGTTTTTAGCGCTGAATTAATGAATAAAATACTGTCCGGGCAGGGACCCGTGACTCTCAGTTAACCCATGACTGAGCTATTTGTAGCTATGTCTTCTCCATGATTCTGTAAAGAGCCAACTGGGCTTATCAAAAACATCGAAACTGGGGGCTTATCGATAAGAGGCAAGCGGGTCCAAGCGTTCCCCGGAACAACAATCGCCCGGGTAGATAATATCCTGGCCCATGTGAAATCTTTCGGAGTGTTCGCCTCGGCTTGCTGTCACTCTGCTCAATTCTCCCCATACTTTGGGTCTCTCCTAACGCTTTAACGCTCGTGCTTGCTACAGTGTCCTAATTCTCCATTTCCCGTCTCTCACACACAAATCCTCGCCACAGAACTCGGAACTCAGCACAGCCTCCCCACGCTAGAAACCTCCGTCGCAAGCAGACGTTCATCCTTGTGATGTCCCTCCCTAGAACCCTCTCGAAAAGCCTGCGAATCTCGCACAGCACACCGTTGTCCTTGCGCCTGCACTCTGCCACCGGCAGCACGAGCGTCCGCCATGCCTCGCTGACTTCGGCCATTCACGCCGGGATCCGTCGGTCCCGGTTCCGGGAGGATAAGCTAGATGGGGGACGAGAGGAACGGTCGGGGCGGTCACTGTCCGCGCGGTTGGAGAAGGAGCGAGGTGAGGATCGGAGGAATAAGAAACATGATAAACACGACAGGGGGTCTAGGGGTGGTGCCAGGCGCGGAAGAGGCGACGGCGAGCGGGCGGTATCGTCGTCCAGGAAGGGTCGGGCTTGGGAGACGGAAGCGTCAACATCCAGGGAAGGTCGAGCTTGGGAGACGGAAGAACGGGGTTTCAACCAGAACGAGGGATATGAACGAAGGCGCAACAGACGCGAGGAGGGTCCCCGGGATGGGAACCGGTTTCCCTCGTTCCAACGCGGTGAGAAATCTGCCGACACGCGGACGACCCTGAATGTCAAGAAGCCTTTCCTCGGCGCGCAATTCGACGAGGACGAGTTCATTCGCACGGGTAGCTTTAAAAAGCTCTCTCGGGATAATGATCAGGGCGCGAACGGCGACAAGAGCGGCCACGACTATAAGCAGGGCCGGCGAGGTCGAGTGTCGACTTTCGACCGAAGCGACAGCAGCACGCAGGACCTCCAGGCCTCGAAGCAGAAACCCGGCAACGCGCGGCGCAAGGTCGGGCAGTACACCCACGAGAGCACCGACCAGGTCCCCGAACGCGTCAAGGCGCACGTGCTGCCCCCGGCGGAGATCCCGTACACGACGCCGGCGTCGCAGTTCGTGTTCGGCACAGCGGCGGTCGAGGCGGCGCTCCGCTGCACGCGGCGCCAGCTCTACAAGCTCTACATCTACCAGTCTGAGGGCGAGAGCCTGTCCGAGGCCAAGTCGGCGATCCGCAAGCTGGCGCTGCTCAACAACGTGCCGGTCAAGATGGCCTTCGCGGAGTGGGACCGGCTCCTCGACAAGATGAGCGCGGGCCGGCCGCACAACGGGGTCGTGCTGGAGGCCTCGCCCCTCCCGCAGCTGCCCGTCGCGCACCTCCACCGCGTCGCTTCGGTCAAGGAAGAGAACTTCCAGGTCGAGCTGGGCGTGCAGTCGCGCGAGGAGGCCGCCGTCAACGGCACGGACACCCTCGTGCCCATCAACCATGCCCGCTGGCTCTCCGATAACCCCGATGCTACGGACAGCACCCACCGCTACCCCGTCGTGCTGTTGCTGGATGGCGTGCAGGACCCCGGCAACATGGGCGCCATCATCCGCTCCGCGTATTACCTGGGGGTCGACGCCGTGGTCCTGGCGGGCCGCAACTCGGCCCCGCTGACCCCCGTCACCATCAAGGCCTCCGCCGGCGCCGCGGAGAACATGCCGCTGCTGGCCGTGCGCAACGAGCAGGAGTTCATCGCCAAGTCCAAGGAGAACGGCTGGCGGTTCTTCGCCGCGGACATGCCAGGCCCCGCCTCCCAGGTCGTTTCGGACATTGGTGGTGGCACCGCGGATGGCCCGGCAACCGCGCAGGCGCCCTGCGTGCTGATGATGGGCAGTGAGGGAACCGGGTTGAGTACCCATCTGCTGTCGGCTGCGGACGTGAAGGTGGGGATCCCCGGCGCGCGGTTCGATCCGCGGCTGGGGGTGGAGAGTGATCCCGCGCGCGTGGACAGTTTGAATGTCAGTGTTGCGGCGGCGTTGTTGATGGAGCGGATCCTGCAGTCGCCGGTTATGGTGGATGAGTCGGCGGGGAAGAAGACGAAGACGACGAAGGGGAAGGGTCGGAGGTAGGCGGGTTGACTACCTCGTAGGGTTTGTACCATGTTTTGTATACACCAACCAGCAGATGGACATAGAGCTGGATTTTCCTTTCTGCATTGGTGGGTTAACTAAAAGAACCAGACCTATATTTGATAGTGATAGCGCTGAATGAGCCATGAAAATTACTTCATCATTCACAAAATCAACAATCCGCTAGACACATCCAATACTTCACATAAACACCAGACAAAACACAGCACCTCACCCCTGAACATCCACCCTCTTCATAACAACCATACATGCTCCCTCCTTCCGCCCCTCCCCTCCACTCTCAACAGAAGTCTCATCCTCCCAGATCCCCACCTCCCACCTCCCGCCCAATTTTTGGGCCGTAACACCCCGTCGACACAGCTCGACCACCCGCCCTCCCTGCTCATAATCCCCACACTCGAACACCACCATCCTCGCCCCAACCCTGCCCACCAACCCGACAATCCGCGCATAGAACACATCTTCCTCTTGCCCCTCTCCCTGCCCCTGCCCCTGCCCCTGCCCTAGACCCTCCACCATGCCTTTCTCCGAAACAGGAGAAGGTGGTACCAACGCCAAAACCGGCTCATGGAACCGCACACTCCGCGCCGTCGTCCCATCCAGGAATGCCGTCCGGGAGATGTACGGCGGATTGGAGATGATCACGTCGACTTCAACCTCTGCTTCGCCTTCCCCTTCCCCTTCCCCTTCCATCCCCATTTGCCCGTTCTGCTTTGATGCATCTTGGGCGCGGGAGCGGGAGCGGGGGCAAAATTCCGGGATGCAGGGAAGGAGCTCCTCCAGCGCGGGGACCGGCCCTCTAAGCTTAGAGTGGGAGGTGGGCGCCGAGGGGCCGGCGAGGACGTCTGCGCGCCGGAATTCCACTTCCTGGGATGCGCGGGCCGATAGGTCGCCGAGCGTGACGTTGTGGCGCAGGTTCTTTTGCGCGAGGTGGATCGCGGGCGGGTGGATGTCGATGCCCACGATTTTGAGGGAGGGGTAGCTTGGTGAGAGTAGGGCGTGGAGGAGGAGGGTGATGCAGCCTGTTCCGGTGCAGAGGTCGAGGATCCGGAGGGTTTTTGGAGGAGGTGATGGGGATGGGGATGACGATGGTGGTGGGGAGGCGGGGTTGGGTCCGGGTTTGGGAGGGGGAAATTGTTGGCGGATCTGCTTGGCCGCGGCGTAGGTGAAGGTCTCGGTGTCGTTGCGCGGGATGAGGACCCCCTTCTGGCAGAGGATGGTCAGGTCGCCGAACGGTTGGTCGCCGAGTAGATATTGCAGCGGAGTGCCGCGGGAGCGGGCGTGGCAGAGGGTGCGCAGCGTGCGGCGCCAGCCCTTTGGGGGGGCATTCTCGGGCGGGTGGCGGTGCGTGGGTTTTCGGTGGGGTTGTGTATTCGGGAATGATTGCGGTTCTTCGGATGCTTGGCCAGTTTTGCAGGCTTGTTGTAGGCGTTGATAGCGTTGTTCTTTGCGTTGTTGGGTGAGGTCGATCGCGTGTTGGCGGAGCCAGCGGAGTTCGCTGCGGGCCGAGTCAATCGTCCGGCATTCGCGGAGCAGCAGCGGGAGCAGTGCGTCTTGCGCGTACGCTTGGAGGATCGTGCGGGTCGAGAGCCGCGGCATTGCGCCGGCCAACGGTGTTTCTGGGTAAGTATAGGCGGTGAATTGGTGTGTGGGGTTGAAGGGCGCTGCAGTGAAGGTGTAGGGGAGGTTTTGCTCGTTTGATGGAGTAGATCAGGAGACGCAGCAGAGCCCTTTTACATACTTTCCAGATGTCGCAGAAGATGATTCCGCCGGCCTCGGCGATTTTGCCGCCATAGCGTCTCATCCACCGCCTCCGCGTCCGGCAGAATGAATCAGGGAACGATCATGAGGATGACAGTGACAGTGGGACATGCATCTCGCCCATCCAACTCTCCAGCCTCTCTACCCCTCCCAACACGTCCCGCAGATACATGCTCGCCAGTTCGCGTCTGTCCGCATTCGCCCGCCCCATCCAGAAGACCGAATTCTGGACCGGATTGCGCTTCGCCGCCGCCGCCTGCTCGGGCAGCCGCAGCATCAGCTCCAACAGCCACCGGCCGAACGGATCCTGAAGGCGCATTGCCCACTCCGTGATCTCGGGGTCGTCGGCGGGGACCGACTCGGCGTTCGCCCGCACGAGTGCTTGGAAGAATTCCGGGTTGCGCGGGGCCAAGCGCACCGCGGTGCGGAAGTGTCCAGCAGATAGGGCGTAGGGGATGACCGGCTCCTGATCCTGGTCCTGGTCCTGCGCAGTGAGGTGTTGCTGTTCGGTGACGCGGAAGTAGAACTCGTCCAGTTTGAGGAGGGTGAGGAGGGCGGGAAGATTGTTGGATACGATGGCGGTATGGATTCCTTGTTGCAAGCAGGGACGAGAAAGGATGAGAGGGTGTTTAGGGGGTCTGAGGGGAAGAGTAACACTGTCAAATCCTAGGGAGAGTCGGTGGATTTCAAGGTAGGTGACCAAGGCTGGAGTGAAGCCGTCGTCCGAGAATGATGAGGAGGGAGTGGCCGGCGCGGAGTCACTACCTGTGCTACCTCGAAGATATTTGTCAGGAATGATCAAGGGGCTGAGGAAAGGGTGCGTGGTTTCCTGTTCGATGGAATGGTTGGTGATGGTCATAGATATCGAAGGATTGATGGTAAGGGTGTAGTTTTTTGTGGGTGCAGGTGTCGATGTGTCAGGGGTAGTGTTGATGGTTTCGAAGCCCTCAAACACATTTGCATCATCTTCTAGATTGAGCACACGATCTAACAGCTTCTCTTGCTCTTCGGCCATGCTGATTCCTGCACCGAGCCAGTGTTGTTGAATGACCAGATTCATCAAATCCGGTAACTGGTCGAGTATTCGCGGCACGGTACACCATCTACAGTGAAGGATGGCCGTCTGTAGGTCTTTCCGCTGCGCCAGGCTGATAGGCGCGTAGTCCAATGGTCGTAGAGTTCGGAAAATTGCATCCCTCGATTCACGGCTGTAGGGTGATGCAGATAACTCCGTGCTGTCATCCCAGAAAGCCAGCAAGATCAAAGCACGGTAGATGCGCTCAGTCGACACGGCCGCAGCAAGAATGGGGGACGAACGAGCCAGGTTCACGTTCAAGGAATGCAGAAAGATCTTCTCGATCAGTTCATTGGGAAGAGATTCCAGCAGTGATTGCTTCTTCTTGCGCGGCTTGTCGAGTGGGGTGGCAGTCAGTAGACGAGCGCGCTTGTGGCTCCTAGTCTGCGATGAACTGAGCTTCGCCTGGGGTGATAGCAGTGGCCGGCCGCCTCGGGGCCCGCTGGGAATGGGCTTGGGAGCGTCATCATCTTCATCCCGTATTTTGCGACGGCCGCGAACGTGGATGGGAGTTAGTAGCATGGTGGGTCATCTAACACAATTCGTGCGCCTATACTTTAATCATCGTGTTGGGTGAGGTTTGAGGACGAGCAGTGTCTCGCTGCAATTGGACGACGCTGTTTCGATCATGTACAGTACTGTACTTAGCATCTGCCTCAGGCATTGAGTGGGTCTCGTTCAAGCTGCTTTGACCTTCAAGACTGCCTGCTCCAATCAACACGATGGAGAACAAGGGGTGTTCCCTTATACTTCCATTTCATGCTGTGAGAATGGCGACTAGTGAAAGCTTCATACACGCGGCGGGTAATACAAGATCGCCAGATGTTTCGATTGTTTGCACCGTTTCTTTTGTTTGACTCGAGGCCATCATATTCGAAAGCCTCAGGCTGCAATTGCCGACGGGAGCCCGAGTTGGAGACTCCAACATATCTCCAACCACGAATCTTCCTCGAATTTTCCTCGATTTCCAAGCAGGAAGAGAGCCGATAGCTGATCCTGCGATACGCCTGGCTGAACGCGCTCTGCAAGTACAGCAGTCATTTTCATTGCATAATTTCAACCCGTCAAAACCACGATAGACACGCTGGACTGAAAAGCTAAGGCGACATTATCGCACGTGTCTTATCGTACCTTATCGCAGCTTATCGATGCCGATTAGAACTGGAGCCGTCGCTTGACCGTTGGCGACACACCTGGTGCCATTCTCCCGAATCCAAGCTGGAACTGTATGATTCCTATAGCCCGCTTGCGTTATTCGCTACTGCCCTGCTGGGTGTGGCATATATTCGTCTGTATTACAACCTTGGAAAGTGACGCAGACTGCAGAGTGGCGATCCAGCAGTAGTCGCCGCGACATGTATAAAGCGCCCCTGCCAAAGTGCGGTACGCATGTCATACATGCCCTGCTATATTCTGTCCATTCCCTGAACATTCTTGTACAGGCGGGCACTTCTTATCTTTCTCAGTTCAAATCCTTCGGCTGGAGCGGGGATCATGCTTTCTGTGACCTGGAATGTGCTATCTTCTTGAGAAAGTGGCTGCAATTTGTGGCAACTTCCTATGAGGAGCAGACACTGTCTAGTATGTTGTTATCGGCCCTCACTCTTATCTCTTGTCTAATATGGCCCACGTAGAGCTGGCAACACGCGTTGTCCGGTGGATTATCCGTGTCGTACGGGAAGCGTTTATGTCACAGGACGAGACATTCCAGCTCAGTCATGAAATCGACGATATCGGCTGGAGGCGTTGCATCGAACTGCCAGCTTTCTCAGCTCTGCAGTCGTCAAAGTCAGGGCCCAGATGTTCAAGGTTTGCAAAAGCCCTTGGCCGATGGTGAGGTTCGTTGGCCAGGGTCTAGATTGGTACACGGAATTGATGTCTGAGTCAATCCCCCTCGATGAGTCGGGTGACAACATGAACCTGGGCGTTGGGTAAAAGAAAAATAAATAAAAAGAACTGGTGGGTCATGTGTCAGATGTTCTCCGGACTGCGCTGTTCCTGCGAATTCCTGTTTCATCCTCTGCTCCCAAAATCAATCCATAATCTTCCCGGCCAACTTGCTCCGTCTCCTGATGGAGGGCCCACACCAGACAGGATCCACGGTACGAGTGTCAAAGCCATGCCCACGCCTCCAGGCAGACTGGCTGGGGCGCCAAATCCTATGATGAGTGAACATTTGTCGAGAGACGAGAGGGAAAATCCCACCCAACATATTCCGATAAAAGATCTGGGCAGCCGAAGCGGAACTGCCGTAGCGATGATAGGTGTCGGCCAGATAGTTGAACACAGAGAGGTAGATTGAGAAGATTCCGGCAGTAGAGAGTCCCACCGCCATAGCAGGTACTGTCCCATGCACCTGGTACTGCGCTGTCGAGGTCAGCAACTGCATCCGGCTTGAGGAGATGAACCGCGCGATCGAGGCGTTTGATATCCGGCCTGTCGTGGCCGAGCAGGTCTTTGGGTTCGACGAGTTGAAGGAGGCGTATGCGCAGGTGTGGAATCGGCGGATGTTTGGGAAGGTGGTGCTGGCTGATCAGGTGGAGGAGTAGTTGAGGCATAGTCTTATCCCTGGACCACAGGGTCTGACTCGATGCCGGAGGCGTAATGTATATAGCACATGAGCCTGAGCCTGAGCTAGATCTACATCCGAAGCTGCTTGAGTTGGCCGCTGCCAAGGTTGCTGTTGGGCAGTATCCGCGCTGATAGGTATAAGCACACAATGGAGCATAGACGGTATGACATGTCTCAGGAACCTGCTCCTGAGCCCTCTTGGTTGTTGTTGATACTATTCAATGCTCGTTAGATGCAGATCGTGATTCAACAACGTCACTGCCCCCGAAACCATACATAGTCACGTGCCATAGCCCCAGTATATACAAGCCCAGCATGCTCCCAACACCAGCTCAGCAGAACATCCCGCCCCGCATCAAGCCCCAAAACCACCCCACCCTCCGCCATGACGTTCAGCAACCTCTGCCATCACAAGCCAAACCGCTCCATCTCTCATGATCCCAAAGACTCAGAGTTGGTGACCTGGACCCGGTTCCAACTCGCCTCATCATCACAGCCCGACACCGATGCATGGGCATCCTATTTCCAGCCCCTGGTCCACGACATAGGCCACTGCCAGACAGTCTGGGGCCGAGTCAAGGACAGTGCAAGGCCTCAAGTATTAGTGGTAACGCGTACGTCATCGCCCTGTGGATCCACGCGAACAATCATCCTAACCTCTGCCTTCACATTGACCTGGCATAGAATGGTGGACAGTCTCCGAATACAGGGACTTCAGGTCCTCCCCCAACGCGCAGCTCTACCTCGAGACCCTCTCCAACAGCGGAATCGTCCCCCTCGCTACCCACGAGACAGTATCCAGCGGCAGCTTACCGCCCTGGTTCCACTTCCTCCAAAGGGGCTCCAGCTGATCAGCGTGTATTTCCCGGCGCCGGTCGCGGAGCCGCAACGGGCGCAGATCCAGAAGCTCAAGGGGTACCGCCCGCCGGCTTTACGGTTTCATGCAAAGCCCGACGAGTGGGATGCACTGCGTGGCCCGGTGATGGTCTGGGCGGCGCAGACGGAGCGGCGGAGCGGACAAGAGGTGCAGCTGATGCTGTGGCCGCATTTCTGGCGGGATGCTGACCGCGCGGAGCGGAGGCTTGTTGTCAGTGTCAAGGAGAGGTTTGAGAGGCAGCTTGGGCGATTCCAGCCGGTGGAGTGGGGGGAGGAGTTCTTGGAGTTTGAGCTTGTGCCTTGTATTTGATGGACTAGGCTTGGCTTTTTGTTAGACCAGGCAGCCTGTTCATGTTTGTCTGTATGATACTATACCTAATCGGCTCAATATCTGAGCCTTTTGTGATTGACATGCACAACTGAGTGGACCGTAGCCATTTTACTCTGCGTAGAGCCATACGAGGCAGGAGCTGACAAGAACCCTACCTTGCGGTTGTCGGGTGATGTGGACTATCAGGTCCCTGCCCATAGCTTGCTTAGTGCTCATGTTCTATCGCATACTTTGTGTGATCAGACCAGGATCGACGCTACTAAAATCTCACACCAACGTATAGGACCCACATGTAGTACTGCCCGACAGGGTGTTACTACTGTTACTCTTATACTTTGACTCTCCTATCCTTCTTCTTCTTAGGAGCAAAAGTATGTTCCACTAGTGCATAAGTGGCATGGATTGAAAGTCTCCAAGGTCCGGCCGTCAAAGCCTCTTCGCAATGCTGAGTGTGACAGCTTGAATAAGATCGAACTACCACGTTGACAAGACACCACTTTCTACCTGCATCGGCTGAGCGATTCGATTCTCGACAAAGCCTTGTTGTGACTTGTTGCACGGTACGCTCGGCAAGATACGACCTGAACCCTGGTAACCGTGGCCGCGACAAGTGGCCGGAATAAGCCACCTGCATGGCACTTCACATATCACTGGGCAACCTCCGATCCAGTTTCTTGCTTTCCCAAGAGAGCACAAACACCAGCCTATCACCTAGCTACCCCACTGGTCTTCAGCTATTCTCTGGTTGACATATGGAAGCTTTCATCTTCAGTTATAGGACATCTTCTTACTACCATGGAACGATGGTCCCATCGTAAACATTCCGACCCGTGGCATTCTTCCACCCGGGAATAAACACCTTAGGAAACTGCCCGTTTATCTCTCCATTCGGTCGGAACAGAATATTCAACGATGCCTTGACCCCTTGCTCAGGCGTCAGGTCGGCGATGTCGCCGCCGCCGAGATCGGTCTTCATCCACTTGAAACATCGATCTCATGTATTAGTAGGTGATAATGCGGGTTTATATAGGGGACAGAGCACATACACCAGGGGCAATGGCCACAAAAGCGAAGCCGTCTTTCTCATGGTCCAGAGCATACTGCACGGTGAGTGCGTGCAGGGCGGCCTTGGAGATCTTGTACGCTGGGGCGGGGACGTCATGGGACGCGCGAGCTAGGGCAATGGAGGCGAGCGAGGTTGTGCTGCAGCACTTTAGAAAGAACATACGGTTCGGTGGATGGGTAGTGATGTGTTACATGTTCGCCACCTTCTTGAGGGAACCCTGTTGCAGAAGTGGTAGAAAAGCCCGCGTCACGTAGTGGACACCGAGGACGTTGATGGTGAAGCTCTCTGCGAGATTATCCCTTGAGCGGGTAGGTGAGTACATAATGAGGTAAGAGGACTAAGATAGACAAAAAACTTACATTGATTTCACCCCATCGCCGACGTACTGGCAGACTCCGGCATTGTTAATCAAGATATCCAGTCCCTTGCCGCTAAGCTGCTTCTCGACCTCGCCTGCAGCGTTGCGGATGGACACCTCATCTGTCACGTCGAGTTGGACGACTGAGACTCTTCCTGCCGAGACAGCGGCAAGCTCGCTCAAGGGCGACGAGTCTCCTCGTGCGGTAGCAAAGACTTTGCTGATCTCGGTTTCGGAGCGGGAGGAGAGTTCGCGCGCGAGCGCAAGTCCGAAGCCGCGGGAGGCACCTGTGATCAAGACTGAAGCCATATCCAGGTTGAGAGATTTGTGAATAGTCGTCGGCTAATAGTTGTTGCCAAGGAAGAAGTTAGTATTTTGTGGCCTGATATACTTGCTGCTAGGGCTGGGTTAGATTTACGATTGGTAAGCATTGATCGGTCTTTGACGGCGCTTATCTTTATGTCCGAAAAAGGAGGGCGCAGGCCGAGACTGGAATTTAGCTCTAAGAATAGGAAGTTAGTGTGATGCAAGATTATATACGTAAATAGAGAAAAGAAATGGTAGCGTGATAAGTACTTCAATTCCCAATATAGCTTCCATAAAAGAGTACTTAGTAACTACTAAGTTAGTTATCATACATATAATGTTGTATGTCCTGTTTCAAATCAGGCAGCATGTACTTCTATGTAAGCTTCAAATTGGCCTTATTTGATTCTAATATAATCACAGTACATTGGTCATACGACTCAGAATACTTCCCATAGTCTATGAGTCGTCAAATTGCTTCCTAGTCTATGTACAGTATGTCTGGGTGAGCCCTAACGCCGGCTGGCACGATCCTAATGATAAGTTGCAGTAGCTGCAAGTCTTGGACCCACCCGGGCGGACCTAGTTGAGATTACACGCAATCAGATGCGATACCCAAGCTCGACTGTACAAAAGGTTCCAAAATTGATCCCAAATTGGCACGCATAAGAAGTAAACCAGCATCTTGAAAAAGTACCACCACACACCCAACTAAGTATACCACGTTGGCGCCGGCAGCTCCCCCAACAAAACATATCTTCCCAGCTCCCGATTCTTGTACGCAACGGGATCATGCAACGTGTGCGTCCGAATATCCCGCCAAAACCGATCGAGCCCGACCTTTAGTGAGGTAGCCCTCGCCCCCGTCACCTCGAAGATGCCATTGGTGACCCGCAAGCCCACGTCCGTGGTGACGACCTTGACGCTCGCGATCCACTCGGCCACCTCGCCGCGTTCCTCCGCCGCCAGCGCCGGCCGGTCCGCGCCGTGGCGCGCATACAAGCCGACTAGCTGCTCACCCGCGCGATCGGCCAGCGCTTCGGTGGCGCGCAGATGCGCGAAGAAGTTCCCGTACCGCTCTAGAATGTAGAACTCGTCGGTGGCGGCGGTCTTGTTGTCGCCGCCGAAGGGCCAGGCGCGCGTGTGGGCGGTGGTGTATTTGGCGGCGAAGTCTAGGGCGCCTAGGGCGATGCCCAGGTAGAAGTTGCTGAAGACTAGTTGGATGCTACTGGGGGTCAGTATTGCTCATGGTTGCACTGGTAAGGCAGGTGATCTTACGTGGGGAGCAGCAAGCTGGCGAAGGGGACGCCGAGCACATCTTGTCGTGGCTGCTTGGTGGAGGCATCCCAGCCCAGCGCGTCGGTCCACGGGGCGCGGACGTTCTCGATCTTCACGCCTCCGGACTCGGTCAGACGCAGACCGATGTTCTGCCAGTTGTGCGCGAATTGGATCCCCGGCTGTCGGGTCTCCACGAGGGCGAAGATGTGTTGGTCTGTGCCTTCGAGGACGCCTTCGAGCACGGTGAGATCGGAGACCACGCCCCCCGTGTTGAAGAACTTGGCGCCGTTGAAGACAATGTGTTCCCCGTCAGAGGTGATCTTGAGGTCGCTGTCGCGCGGGTTGACCGCCCCGCCGACGAAGTAGTTGTTGCTGATGATCAGCTCATGTGTGCGCTCGATTTGTTCGGGGGTGCCGACTACATTGGCGGTCGTGGACCAGAGGAGATGGTAGCCGAGCAGCATGCCGATGGAACTGGGGAATTGTTAGCTGCGGTTAAAGAAGGTATGCAGGAAGTGCGTTGTGGAAAGCTCACCCATCCGCCTTGGCCACTTCTCGGATGGCTTTGTACCCTACTTCCCACGACTGCTCACCTCCTCCGTACTTCTTAGGACCCAGTAGCTTCAGCAGTCCGGAATGCTTCAACAGAGCCACCTCGGCTCGGGGCGATTTGTTCTCCTGATCCCTTTGTGCGGCATCCCGAGAGAGTACTTCGGCCACTTCTCGTGCTCTTCTGATCCAGCCTTCTGCTGTGGTAGGAAGTGAGGACCACTGGTCTTGATAAGCGCTGTAGACACTGGGATCAGTCGCTGGAACGTTTCCTTGCGCCATGGTGGATGTTCACGGGGTGTAAATGCGGTGGTAATGCTCCTGCTTGTAATCTACAAGTCACCAGTCTTGGATGTATCGCCACTTGAGGATACAGCAGAGAGCATTTATACACATCTTCACAGATTGCTCATATAGCATGAGTATGGCGTAGCGAAGACAATTGGTGATCCGCACATGTCGATCCCAAGTTGTTTGCTGGGAGTTGAGCGATTCGTCAATCCCGGGATTAATGTCGTAATTGGCCCCAAGTTTGGGATACACCCAAAACTGCCCGCAGTGCTCTGTGGATAGTAGTGTGGGGGATTCGCAAGACCCCACATGCTAACTGTTGCGAGGAACCGTGCGATCGGAGGCTGCGATTGCGTGACGGGCCGAAGTCCAGGGCCCGGTGGGTCCGAGGTTTTCGGCCGAGATGCCTCCCTCCACACTGGTCAATTTAATTTTGGTTTCTGGTGCGAAAGGCGATATAGTTCAACAAATGCACTGGGACCAGAAAAATCCAGATTCTGAAATGCCACTTCCACATCCATCTTGCGGCGTGCCTGAGCCATCCCGCAACATGTTTTCAACGTCATATCTGCTCCATACTTCCCATCATGCCCGACAGCTCAGCCTTACGCTTGCGCGCTATCGACGTCTCACCGGTCGCCGGCTCCATCGACTTAATATATCTCGCGCACTTGGCAGCAAGACTGCTCGACGAAGCGGCGCGCCAGGGAAGACGGAGACACGCAGAGATGGGAACGGCCGAGATACAGATAATCGCAAGATGGAGTCGCATAACAAAGGAGGGAGCACCTGCATAGGAGAGGTCGGAGCTCAAATGAGAGGCTCTCGAGCAGGGCGATGCAGGCAATGGCGGCGGTGACGGCGTGGCGTGTTGGCTTTTCTGCAATCTCTGCAGCGTCCGCAGAGACTTAAGAGTCGGATGAACACCGTTGCAGAAGTGGCTGCCACGGATGCACGACAGTATTGAAGCGGTCATCGATCCAGTGGTCTGAGAACGGCGTATGCTAGATTGCCCCATCACACAGTTCCAAGGCCAACTTGCTCGTGAGGAAAAGCCGTCAATAGTAAAGCAACATGGCTACCTTCGTGACCAACATCGCGGACCTGGGGATGACCAGCCATGTACACTGTGATATACCTCTCAGTAAGTCTACTGCGGAACTATCATTTCAGTACATTCGATCAGCGGGTCGACTTACCGATCATGCGGACTACGTATAGGCTAGGAGACAGGAGCTGGGTGAGATCTTAGACACATGAAGATGAAGACTCGTTGCATAATGTGTGCCGACTAGGCTGGAAATGGACACAAGATTGGCAATTGCCTAGCCCGCCTAGCAGCGGTATCAGCATCAAGGAACTAACCATAGGGTCTTGGGTATAAACCGACCAGAGCAACAACAAGCGCATAGTCCTCTCCGACAAGACTCTTGTCAAATCAATATTGCGTATGTCTTCGGATGGCATCGGCAACATTTAGAATGCATAGCACGATACACAGTCCCAGAGCCAGAGGCCGATGTGACTGCGACGACGCCTACTCATCCACGGTCGGATAACGAGGGGTCATAAATAGATCTTTAAGTTCATTCTGAGAGAACAAGCAGAAGGAAATCGAATGGCCGGCGAGGGTCGCTGTAGGGCGCATTTGTAATCCTTCAACGCACAGAGTTGGGCTGAGGGCTGGCCCCCATTGTGTGAGGGCGTGCCATCATGCATAAATCCACGTGTGTGAAGTCTTCCTTGTGATTTTGGCCCCAAAATCTTACTGGGGAAATGTGATTTCTAGAACTTCGCCCCCACTGGAAGAGCACGGTCGATGCTTGGCACTGGGTAGAGATCGGATTATATACTTCATCCACAGGCTGTTTGCTGTGGTCTGACATGGCTGTGTACATGATGACTAATACAATCAGCATCGCCCCAGGAATATGAGCAAGACGGCGCACATACCTGGATTATACAATTATTGATGTAGATGATGTGTGGTTGTTGTTGTGGTGAAGTTCATACCGGCATAATAAGACACACCCGCGCTATACCCGAACTGGCAGGATGGTTATCGATAAGTGCAAACAGGACATACGGCTGAGTCAGCTGCTGACTGGCCAGTGGCGGGGCAAAAAAAAATACCGAGTCCGATCCTGCGTCAACTCCCAATCTCTAACACTCCAACTCTTCGCTTTTGTGCATTTGCGGTTTGCGTTCGGAGGTCAAGATGTCGATGGATTTGGATGCGCCAGTTCCCATGTTGGGGCTGCAGGACCAGCCCCCGGTCGCTGCGACGTGAGTCTTATCGCCAGCCTGGTTTGGCCGGAATTTCGCTCATATTTTCCTAGGATTCTGTGCTGCAACTGCGGTGCCCCCATCGATGGAACCACTTCTGCTGGTGCTATGTGCCAGGACTGTCTGAAACTGAACGTCGACGTCACCCAAGGGTAAGTTGGGATTTTACTTTGGTATCGGGTCCGCAGACGGAACTCATGCTGATTTACTCCGAAATCTAGCATCCAGCGCGAATCGACCCTCCTCTGCTGCAAAGACTGCGAGCGGTGGCTCCAGCCCCCCAACCAGTGGGTGGTTGCGACCCTCGAGTCCAAGGAACTCCTCGCCCTCTGTCTGCGCCGCCTTCGTGGCTTGTCGAAAGTCCGCATCATCGACGCCAACTTCATTTGGACCGAACCCCACTCGAAGCGCATCAAGGTCAACATCACAATTCAGCAGGAGGCCTTCCAGGGCACGATTATCCAACAATCTTTTGAGGTGGAATACGTGGTGGCCGGCCAGCAGTGTCCTGGTATGTCTTGCAACCACTTTCGCTCATGTTCGACTCAGGCTTGCGTCAATCAGGCTCGCTAACATCACTGCAGATTGTCAGAAGAGTTTCACGCCCAACACGTGGCGAGCT